GGTCCAGTAGATCTGCGGGCAGCTCGGCGCCTGGCACGGCTGCGACTAGGCATCCTGAATTGACTGGTCCTGGACTCAATGCCTCCATCATCGAGACAGTCAGTGCGAGGATGCAGCAAGGTCAACCCACGAATGTAAACGTTTTGGGTGAGATCGCGCTGGCGTATAGCGGCCAAGAACAGCGTGTCACCATCAACCTTGATCAGTTCCAGACATTGGAGAAGGTTGCACCAAACCCGGCGTTCATGAAGGATATAGCCGACAAGCCTGGAGAGTACCACGTCGCCCTCACACCAATTCAATCTCGGGCAACGATTGCGTTGAAGTATCAGGCTCATGTTGATGAGGCTAATATGTCTACGTTCTTGCCTATTATTGTTACTCCGATGTGGAAACACAAGGAGGGACAGAGTTTATTGATTGTCACGTACCAAGTGAACCCTATGTTCAAGCGTATGGGCAACGCTGTCAAAGTCCAGGACTTGGTGTTCTTTGCGGGTGTTGAGGGTGTCCAGGCGAGTTCGTGTGATTGTAAGCCGCCCATTGCTGCGTTCAGTACGGAGCGTCAGTTGGCTGCCATGAAGGTCGGTGATGTCACGCTGGAGCATGGTCAGGAGGAGAAGATCCTGGTTAGGTTCGTCACCCAGGGTGTCGCGACGGCAAGTAAGCCTGTCGAGGCACGGTGGAAGATGCAGGCCGAGGAAAGTGTCACGGGGCTTGGCGTGAAGCTCGTTGGATCGCGGGCGAGCAGTGAGGAGGATAGAGATCCCTTTGCTGATGAGGGGTCGGTTACGATGAAGGGGAATGTCGCGGCGGAACTTGTTGATGTGCAGACTGTACGGATGCTTCAAAGTGGGAAGTATGTTGCGTTGTAAGCGTAATGGGTGTATATGGATACATGGTGGTTTGTTTGTGTATGATAAGATATTGGATAGGGGATACAATGATGGTAGTATAGTCGTAATGGTAAGTGTTCTGCCCCGATTACGAATGCGCGCCATCATCCTATCTCAACCTTGAATAGCCCCTCATAACGACCTTCTGCACCCCGATCCCCCCTCCTCCCCCCTCGCCATCCCTTTCCCCCTCCAGCGCCAAAAGCGCATCCTTCATCGTAATCAACCCCTTCGTCTCCTCATACCCCTTTCCCCCCTCCCCCAACCCTCCCTTCTTCGCCGGCGCAAGCTTCCGACGGTTGGCAGAAGAACCGGGGGTGATGGCGCCGGAGGATGTCATCCATGCGTATTTTTTCCCGCGGGAGCCGGACATTGCGGAGGCTGTTGCGTTTGCTAGGCGGGTTTGGGCTTCTTCGTTTACGGGGGTGCCTCTTCCACCCGGCACCAAACTCTTCCGGGGTTTCTTGGGCTTCTCGCCTTCGGTAGTTGGGGTTGCGGTTCCTTCGAGAACGGCTTGTGCTTGTCGGGTTTCTTCTTCTTGTTTTCGGGATTCGAGGAGTACGAGTCGGCGTTCTTCATCTGCGCGTTCTTTGTTTGCCAATGCTGCCAGTGCCCGGGCTTCGGGTGATGGGCCTGGGTTTACAGGGCCGGATGTGCGATGTTTTTCTAGGGCTGCCATGGAAGTGATGAGACTCGATAACCGCTCCTTCACAGCGAGTGCCAGGAGTGCCGGAACGTCTGGGTCGATACTCTTGAGTGCGTGTGCTGTCGCCGTCCCGTTAAGTAAATGAATCATCGGCGTGGAATTCAAGAAATCACTCTGCCGCTCTCGATTCTGCTGTTGATATGCGTAAGGGTTATACTGCTGCTGCTGCATGTACCCACCACCCCCAGGAATCATATTCTGATTCGCGAGCGCCTGCTCTTCGGCTCTGATGTCGATTCCAGCGGTGAAGAGCGCGTCTTGGAATTTGTCTTTGGAGTCGAGGGGATCTTCGGTTTTGGGGGTTTGGGGTGGTGGCATGCCGCGAGGGCCGGCGCCTGGGGTGTGGCCAGCGGGGGGGAAAGCCCAGGGTGCGATATGATGGGGCATACCGCCCGGTGTACCAGGTCCGGGTCCTCCTGCTCGAGGCATACCCATAGGTGGCCCCATCGGTGTTCCCATCGGTGTACCAGGCATGCCTGGCATACCGGGCGCACTCATCTGCTGCGGCGTTCCTACCATATGCTGTCCATGCATAGGCCCTGCTAACGGTGTCCCCGGCGGTAACTGTAAATCCAGCCTTGGCCGCTTGTTTGCTCCTTCGTCTGTCTCGCCTGGGCGTTTTGGTGTCATGGCACTTGCTTGCATCATCATTTGTTGATGGTATTGCATTTGTGGGACGGAGTGCTGGACCTGCTGGGGAGGAGGCGCATATTGCTGTGGTGGAGGCTGTTGTCCTGGGTTCTCTTGTTTGATGACGGGCTCGTTGTTGCCCGTTGTTGCCGACATTTCGCCGGTGTTGCGATGTCGCTAGACGCGTCGGCGGCCGAAGAAAGAGAACTGAAGGTTGAAGAAGCACGTAGAATCGACAGTATGGATAAGCGATTCGGTCCTGACGATAATCGACGGTCTGTACTGGCGATATGAAGCCGATATAGGGGGTGAATGCGCCTTGGAGGTTATGACTGAACTTCGTACCGGTATACGTATACTGGCCGTAGTGCATGAACTTGCATGGCCATACCCGGGTCACCTGAAAACCGCGTGGAGCGACGATTCGAGGCTCGAAAGGACCAGAAGTTGATTTCTTCTACGTCTTTACTATGGTGGGAATCTCTTCTTCCTGCGACAACCCTCGATCCGTATTTGTCAGTAGTGACCTCATGATCATCGCTAAAACGCGGCCTGCGTCGCGAATTCCCGGGACGCTGATTTGAAGCTCATCTCGTCCACAAAAATACTCCACACACAAGATCCCTTGATCCACCATGTTTCGCTCATCAGCACGTATCATCGCATCCAGGCGTGTCGCCCAATCCACTTCCCGTCGCACCTTCGCCTCTGCCTACGCTTCTGAGACCGCATCCGGCTCAATCATCCGAGTAGCCACCACAGCCTTCGTCGCCGGTGCCTTGACCTACATCAGCAGCACCCTCTCCTCCCCTATCCACCTCGAGGACCAAGGTAAAGCTCATGTTGACCCTCCCTACACCAAAGCCCCCGCCGCTTCTGCTGAGAAGAAGCGTCAGGACTCCACCGACACCAAAACCAAAGACGGCGAGAACCGCGCCCAGGAAGGTGGCCCCCAAGTCGTAAGATCAGGACACGAGGAGCAGGGGAAGGGACACGAGGAGACTCGTGCGCATGGCGAGATCCATGACTCTGCTCCTACCGCCTCGGCCGAGAAGAAGAAGCAGGCTGAGAAGGGATCGGGTATCCCCGCCGATGCCGCGAGGAAGGAGAACACCCCCGCTGGAAAGGAGAGTGGCCCGAAGAAGGAGTCTGGACACTCCGGTGACGAGGCATCCGCTCAGGGTCCCACAGGCCACGACGACGCAAAGGAGAAGGCCGACTCTAAGAAGGCCGAGAAGAAGGCCTCCAAGGACGACAAGAAGGAGGACAAGAAGGAGGGTGAGGATTCTTCCCAACAAGGCGCCTTCAACGAAGAAACTGGCGAAATCAACTGGGACTGCCCCTGCCTCGGCGGTATGGCTCACGGACCCTGCGGCCCCGAATTCCGCGAAGCATTCTCCTGCTTCGTATACTCAAAGGAAGAACCCAAGGGAATGGAATGTGTCGACAAGTTCCGTGGTATGCAGGAATGTTTCCGTAAGCACCCCGAGATTTACGGTGAGGAGATTGCGGATGATGAGGAGATGCCTGAGCCGGAGCAGGCGGCCAAGGAGGCTTCGCCGGTGGGCAAGGAGGAGTTAAAGAAGGCAGAGGAGAAGGGCGAGTTGTTTGATGACCACAAGAAGGAGGAGAAGAAGGAGTAAGATGTTGAGCATACGGTGTAGTATGTGTACTATAGGAACGATGTGTACGTATACGTTAGACGGTAAAAATTGATCTTGCCTCTAATACAATTCGAAACGGAAAACAGATTTGTGGGGAGCATAAGGTATGGGATCATCATGGGGGTAGTATGTTGTGAAGTAAGAATAGCGACGAATTGCATGATTACCGTATACCCGTGGAAGACCTAATGAACTGCCGAAAATGAGACGCCAGAACTCCGTAAATCGTCAAATACCTGCGCCAACGACCGAATCTCCCTGGGATGCTCCGTATACAACCGGTCCTTAAATCGCCTACTCGATCTTCATGTATCCCTCATCTTCAGCATCGCTGCTATCCAACATCTCAGCATCAACACCTTCCTCCTCCCTCTCCCTCGCCTCTCTCACCCTTCTTTCCAAAACCCTATCAGCCTTCAGCGTAGCCGACGTCAACTGCTTATCACACCCCGGTACCGGACAATCACACCTCCCCCCATTCTGCCTCAACAAATCCTGAATAGCCTCCTTCGAGAAACTGTGCGGACACACCGTCGACGTAACGGGATCCACAACAAGCGTGAGCGTGAGTGGACACTTGAGGGAGGTCCGGGCATGGGACATAACAAGGTCGTCTTCGGATTCGGATTCGGATTCAGGGTCGTTGAGATCAGCGAACCATCGTTTTGGGCGCGGGAGGGTTTCACCTTCGTGGGAGACGTCCCAGACTCGGCGTTTGAATTCTTTGTAGTGTTCGTTCTCGCCGTATTTCTCCAACGAGGTTTTTTCGTCGTAGTTTTGTTTCGACAGCTCCACCCGATTGAGGAACGTGCGGGAGAGAGAGGTGTTGTGGATTGGGTCATCCGCGGCTGCCCCAGCTCCAAAATCTCGATGAACGTTCTGCAGCGTCGTTCGGTCCCGCTCGACCTGAGCCTGGATATCGATCAACGCCCTCAGCGCCATATCCAACGCCTGCGCAGTCGTCGAGTTCGCCTCGACCTCCTCGCAGTCAACCGCTGTATCAGCAACGTATGTTATAGCCTTCGAGAGATGGTTTGTGAGCATGTGGTATTCATTTGGTAAATTCGAGAGTTTGTGCAGGGTTTGGGGGTCGAGAGGAAAGTGGTCAGGGATGGGTTCGAGAGCGGGTTCGGGAGAACGAGATGGGGAGGCTGAGGCGGGTCGGGGCTGGGAGGAGGGATCAGGTTTGACGATTGGTTGCGTGGTACGGCGTGATGGAGCCATGTTGGAGGCGTTGGAGGGGGATAGGTGAGCGTTGGTGGTGAAGGATCCTGGGAAGACGCGTTTGGTGTACGAACATGCACCCTATGTCGCTTCCCTCAACGCACAGGGAGAAGATACAAAAACTTATATAAGTGAAATAGAAAGACGTTCTACACTCCGTTCATCGCGTTTTCGCAGTCTCCTCCGTCATATTCCACGCCCCTCTCGTAATCAGGCACTTCCAGCAGCGGCCCTCGGGAGTTGGAAAGTCAGGCCGAGTGTCAAACGTGTAACCCCCCAGCCCGCGACGACCCTCCTGAAATGTCATCGAAGCAGACGCCCTTGAGGCCAAACCGAAAGGTCAACGAGACCGCGAAGGATGTCTTTTTCTTCATTCCCAACTTGATTGGTAACTTTTTCTCGTCGCTGCGTCATACCTACGGGATGTATGCTCATCGGGATGTGTGAACAGGATACAGCCGAGTCGTCTTGGCGGGTGCTTCGCTTTACTACATGCCCTTTCATCCCAAGTATTGCACGTGGTTGTACGTTGTGAGTTGCTTGTTGGACGCGTTCGACGGAATGGCTGCCCGGAGATTCAACCAATGTTTGTCGCACAAGCCCTCCCCGAATCTTGTTGTCATGCTGACAATCCTTGGCAATAGGCACCAAGTTCGGAGCTGTTCTCGACATGGTCACGGATCGTTGTACCACCTCTGCGCTTCTCTGCTTCCTCTCTTCCGAGTACCCTAGATTCACCATTCTTTTCCAATCCCTGATATCGTTGGATTTGGCTTCGCACTACATGCACATGTACTCTACCCTTACCACCGGTGGAGAGTCGCACAAGAAGATCCCCAAGGAGGGTAACTGGGTCTTGAGACAGTACTACGGCAACAACGTACGGTTCCCCCCAGTGTCGAAATACGACGCTAACATGAAATCGTACAGTACGTCTTGTTCGCGTTCTGCGCGTGTAACGAGCTCTTCTTCGTCGCTCTTTACCTCTTGTCTTTCCCGCCTCGTTCGCCTCCACGTCTTGGATACCTCATGGGCATGCCTCTTTCCTACCCTTACGTCCTCGCTGCTCTTACCTTCCCCATCTGCGCCGCGAAGCAGATCATTAATTGCGTGCAGATGGCGAATGCGGCAAGGGCTCTTGTGGATGTTGATTTGCAGGACAGGAAGGCCGCTGGTGTCCACGCCAACGACAAGATGATGAAAGACTCGTGAACAGCATACGCCAGTGAAATGAGATTGATGATTAGCGTGAGAAGGATGTAATGAAGCTACGGGCCATTTGCAGGAGGGGATTTCAGACTAGATTCGATTGTTTGACATTCGTTTTTATAATCCGACTTCGATTGAAACTCGGTACACAGGACATTTAAGCATATATTCCGCTCTGTCCCCGCGTTCTAATAAATACACGCTTGCAACGCCAAGTCCCAAAACACCTGCGTGGAATCCCCAACGTTCTGCGGATCAGTGTCAACAACCGAATGAACTGAATAACAATCCCTGAAAGTTTGCATAAGCATAAGCATGACCGAGGATCTCCCTGAAATCCTCATCTCGGAGGTTTCGTCGGATGAGTCCGGAAATGAAGGGGGGAAGAAGTGTGCGCATCTCAAGAAAGGGGTGCGTGTACCGAAGGTGAAACGAGCGTTGGCTGGGTTTACATCTCAGAAAACTGGGAGTCCGGTTTGTTTTTCGTGTGCGGCGGCTGATAAGAATGTGGGGGCACCGGAGGGTGGAGCTGTGTTGTGCTTGACGTGTGCAGTGCCGTTCTGTACGAGGACTGATGCTGGGCATGGTGTTGCGCATTGGGAAGCGACACAGCATCCACTTACGATTAACCTCAATACTGGGGAAGTGTGGTGTTATGCGTGCGACGACGATATAAAACCGAATGGGACGAAGAATGCGGTTATTGCGGAGGTGAAAGCCGTGGTTGAGAAATGGGCACGCAAAATGGAGGAGAAGAGTGAGGAACGTGCGGTCAAGGAGACAAAAACGACAGCAAAGAAGGGAAAGGGGAGTAAGAAAGATGATGCGGGTTTCAAGACACGAAACCCGGGTCTTGTCAACCTCGGCAATACTTGCTACTTCAACTCCGTGTTCCAGGTGATGGCATCCCTATCACCATTACACGAGTTCATCTCTGCGTTTCCCCCGCCATCCTCGACTGGACCTCTAACAGCCGCATTCACCGCGCTTCTTGACGATTTTTACAATAGCAAGAGTACACAGTCCATCTCCCCCGTGGGCCTCATGACCCAAATCGGCAAGAAAGGCGGTTCAACATTCCGTCGAATCGGAGACCAGCAAGATGCCCAAGAGCTGTTGCGCACCTTATTGGAGGGAATGAGGACAGAGGAAATCAAAACATGGACGCAGGAAGAACGGGAATTGGCGCAAAAACAACCGACGGGGAAAACGAGGCCGAAACGGACATTTGTGGATCAGGTTTTCGGGGGTACGCTGGCGAGTATGGTCGTTTGTGATACGTGTAAGAACGTGTCTACCAACTTCGAGGATTTTGGGGAGTTGAGTTTGGGGTGTAAGCCTGTTTTGACACCGGGGATGGTCAAACCACCGCCTGTGCCTTCATTAGGTGGAGGTAGGGCATCTGGGTTTGAAAGTGCGCCTGAGGTGGAGTTGAGCAAGAGTGCGATCGAGGACAGAGAAAAACGGATGCGAAAACGGGATAGACTCAAGGCCGCAATGAGGTTCTCCTCGAGAGATAGAAGGACGAGAAGAGAAAGTAACGAGTCTGCCAAAAGCGGGGGGACGGATCGGAGTCGGTTGTCGATGGATGATGCCAGGCCGGAGTTAACGGCTGTTGTTAGTTCTGCTGATGAGGATGGCGATGATGCCGATGAGGATGCAGGGCTTAGAGGTCGGTTGGCGGGTATGTCACTCGGTCTCGACCGTTCCAAATCTACCTCGCGTCGGAAGAGTTCCACCCGAGCATCCCCCGGGCCCGAACAGAAGAAGGAGGAATGGGGCGCGTACCTCCGAAACCTTGTATCATGGGGTCAGCAAGCATCTGCAACAGCGGGTACGGCGAAGATGAAGAAAGGACAAGTCAGTATTTGGGATTGTATGGAGGAGTTCTTTCAGGTTGAGAAGTTGGAGGGGGGAAATGCCTATGCATGTGAGGAGTGTGGGAAGATTGCTGCGGGGGCGAAGATGGAGGTTCAGCAGGTTGAGGAGGCGGTTGAGATGCGAATTGAGGAAGAGAAGATGGAGGTGGAGGCGCAGAATGATGCAGCGTCGGATACGTCTGATGAGAGTTTCGTGCACGTTGATGTGAGTCCGGCGCCGTCATCGACGAATGGGTCCACGGCGCAATCATACATGACCGCTCCTACGACTGAATCCAACACCACTGCTCCAGCGCCATCGCCACCTTCAGACGAGAAAGAAGAGAAGAAAGAGGAGAAGAAGCCTACGGTTATGCGAACTGCGTATAAGCGCTTCGTCATTGCTACACCACCAAAGGTTCTTACCCTCCACCTCAAGCGCTTCCAGCAAGTCGGCCGTTCTATGCGGAAGATCGACGATTTCGTGGAGTTCGAACACGAGATTGACATCCAGCCGTTCATCGCTCCGGACAGCATGGACAAAACCACGAGCACCGAAGGAGTCAGCACGAAATACAGACTAGTGGGCGTCGTGGTACACATAGGTACGATGTCGGGTGGTCACTACATTTCCTACCAACTCAACCCACGCATCACGTTAGCGGAGGAGGCAGCGAAGAAATCGGTTACGGACGCTCCTTCGGTGGAGGAGAAGCCGAAGGTTTGGGAACATAGACGGTGGTGTTATGCTAGTGATACGAGTGTACGGGCGGCGACTGAAGCGGAGGTACTTGAGGCTAAAGCATACTTGCTGTTCTATGAGAGAATTTAGAATAGGATAATACTATTTGGAGGCTGTGTTTGCTCTCACAGATTTTGATGCGTCCGTTCTTGCCTCGTATCCAAGCTGTCCGTTCTTTGTCTTTAGATCTGTTGGCCATTGCAATTGTGTCCCACGACAAGTTCATGCGTCCCGCTGCGTGATTTCCCGGATTCGGGTGTCAACGTTACAAGGAACCCAACCATTCGGAAATATCACACAGCATCGAGTCTGGAATTGCGAATGCATTCAAAGCCATGACAGCATCTGCGACTTTCTTTAAAAACATCCCTACTCTAGGACATCTCTACCGCCTCGGCCTTCGAGCTTCCAACAGTGAGGATGTCTGCACTGAATCCTACCAGACACATTACTAACAGAACGTCTTTCATAGATCCTCCCTTCAACCCTTCAACCATTCTAAACGACAAAATCTCAATATGGAACGGCGACCTCACCAAAATCAAAACCCATGCAATCGTCCACGCCGGCTCGAGATCCCTCCTCGGCAAACACACCCTCTCCGCAGCACTCTACGACGCCGGCGGTAAACTCCTTCTGGAAGATACCCGCCGCCTAATGGGCGTCAAAATCGCTGAAGCAAAGGTAACACGCGTCCACTACCCTTCTATGTTGATCGCAGCAAATTGGATCATCCACACCTCCGGACCGAGATATTACGACGAGTGGGGTGATGCCGAAGAAGATGCGCCGAGGTTGTTGAAGGAGTGCTATGTGAATTGTATGGAGAAGGCGATGGAGGTTCGGGCTACGAGTATTGCGTTTCCGGCGATCAGTACGGGGAGACTGTATTATCCTATTGATGAGGCAGCGGATGTTGCGTTGGAGGCGGTGAGGGGGATGTTGGAGAAATACGAGGACAAGGTCAGTATCCGGTTAGAAGTATGGGAGTTTTGAGGCTAATGTGAAGTACAGTTCGAGCGCATTGTGTTTTGCTGTTACCGGAATTCGGTTGAAGATGCATACCTGAAAGCTGTATCGAAATACTTCCCCCCGACGGAAGATCAAAGGAACGCAAGTGGAGCCGTTGCAAAGGAAGCTCTGCGCGATGTGAAGGGAAATGAACACCATGGAGACAGGCAGCCTGCGCAATACCGTGGCCGGAGACACCCTAAGGAACACATTTCGCCATTCACCGACTCCGAGGAAAAATAAGAATTGACAATACACACCCTCCTACACCTACTACACCTTATGGTCATGGACCAACTGTCCATCCCTCCCCTCCCTCCAATCCCCACTCTTCCCGCCCCTCTTCTCCACGACCCTCATCCCATCGACCCTCATCCCCCGATCCACAGCCTTACACATATCATACACTGTCAACGCCGCATTACTACACCCCACCAAAGCCTCCATCTCGACCCCTGTCTGTCCACGACACTCGACCGTACATTCAACCTCAACCTGATCCGTCGACCCAGACACCGGGAGCAAGGTGACGGAGACCTTTGAAATAGGGATGTTGTGGCAGAGGGGGATTAGGTCTGCTGTCCGTTTTGTTGCCATAATTCCTGCGATTCGGGCAGTGGCGAGGACGTCGCCCTTTTTGAGGGAGTTGGAGGTGATGAGGGCGAGAGTTTGGGGGCTTGTGAAGGTGATTGTTGCGCGGGCTGTTGCGATGCGTTTGGTTTCTTGCTTGTCGCCGACGTTGACCATGTGAGCGTGTCCCGCCTCGTTGACATGTGTGAGCTTCTCGCCTGCTGGTGGTGGCGGTTGCTTCGTAGAATATGCCCTCGCAAATGAAAGAGCCGGTGTAAATGGTAAATATGTTAATCCCACGGGTATATATGCCGAGAATGCTGTAAAAGAACTCCTCAAACGCCTTTCAAACTGTAGTTTCGTCTTCCTCATCCCATCTAAAACCACCCATACGTTAGCACTTGACTTCGCTCTGCGAGGACACGGACATACAAAATGAATGACTAACCCCCAATCAAAATCATCGGTCTGTTCTTCATGTGCTCCAGGTTCCCGATTCCGGCGTGTTGCTTGTGTTTGCGCTTGACTGCCATGCCGATCGTTTCTAGTAGCTTGTCTTCGGTGATGTCTGGTTGGCGGAGGAGGTCCCGAAGGCTGACTTCGGCGTTGCCGAAGAGGCAGACTTTGAGGTTTCCGTCGGAGGTTATCCGTAGTCTGTTGCAGGTTCCGCAGAAGTGATTTGTCATACTCGTGATGAACCCAATGCGACCTGCGAAGCCGGGAACGCGGTAGGTCTTGGAGGTGTCGTTCTCGTGATCCTTGACTTTCTCGAATGTAGGGTACTCCGCCTGGATCCTCTCCAACATCTCCTGGTAGGACAGCATCTTTTCCTTATTCCAACGGTTGCCGTCGAAGGGCATGTACTCAATGAACCGGACCTCCACGGGCTTGTCCTTCGTCATAGCGACAAAATCCAGGATCTCGGCATCATTTACATTCCGGATAACCACCGAATTGATCTTCAGCGGCTGTACTCCCAACGCAAGTGCCGTATCGATACACTTCAACACAGCCTCCAACCCCTTCCGTCGCGCCATCATCTGGTACTTGAACGGATCCAGCGTATCCAACGACAAATTCAAATGCGTCAACCCGCCCTTCACCAACGCCGGCAGCTTCCTAGCCAACGCAATCCCATTTGACGTCATCGCCAACTCCTTCAACCCCTTCTCCTTCAACCTCCCCAAGCGCTCCACCAACTGGACAATATCCTTCCTCACGGTCGGCTCCCCACCTGTCAACCTGATCTTCGTAACCCCCTGCCCCACAAACACCTCCGCGATCTTCAGAATCTCATCCGTGGTCAGTAGATGCTCCGGAGGGGATAGCTCGACGCCTTCTTCGGGCATGCAATAAGTACAGCGGAGGTTGCATTTCTCGGTGATGGAGATGCGGAGGTAGGTGTGTTGACGGCTGTGGTTGTCGGTTAGGAAGGCGGAGAAGGGAAGGGCGTCTTTGATCAGAGGCTTCGGTGAGCGTGTATGCTCGAAGGATTGAGCTGGGAGCGCGATGGGAGGGAGAGTGAATGATTCCGCCGTTGCCGCAGCAGCCGAGTGATGCCGCAGACCACCCACTTTTACGGCATTCCTCGCAGTGATCCGTCTCGCACTTCTTGTCAACATCGTCCTTGATCTCGTCTGTAGCATTTTTGACTCAGTCGTCGATGTTCTCGAGGATAAATGCTGCTGACAACAATGCTTCGATGATTCGGCGACTCCCGCGGGCCGTTGCACCAAACCTCGAGATACGGCGGGGGCGCATCATGTGGCGCGGGTTGGACGGCGGTCGACGGCTAAAGCGGCCAATACGGAGGGTGATGGGATGAGCTGAGATAAGATACCTGAGAATTCAACCGACTGGAAAGCGAATGTTAATCCGTAGTCTTGATACTGAATTCGGAATCGCGACATCTACGCCTTGACGTTACTGTACATCACTTTCCCCGGGCTCGGTGCACTTCCACATCCAATTCCCATGGCCTCATCTCAAGTAATTACCAATTTTTCCTTTACTGGCACCCTGCAAGTGCTAACAAACTACACATTTTAGAGCTTCACAATGTTATACTTTGCTTCCTCGCGCGACGCCGCTTCAGGCCTCTCATCAGAGTCAATCCCCCTCCCAGCAGGCACGGACTCTATCACAGTGAAAGAGGCGGTCAAACTCATCATTGAGCGCCACGGCGAGAAGATGGAGAAAGTTATAAATACAGCTGGGCTTGCGGTAAATGTGGAGTATGTTGATCTGGAGGAGGAGTTGGCTGGGAAGGCAGAGACGAGGGTTAAGGCTGGGGATGAAGTTGCGGTAATTCCGCCTGTGAGTGGAGGGTAGATCTCATGAGAACAAGGTATGGAGGGAACATAGATTGGGTTTTGCTCGGGAACCTATGGAATGTGAAAGAAAGCACCACAGGTTAAATATCCCAGACTGGTACCGGGATGTGCATGAACGTAGATATCCCGGGTTCTCGTATATGAAGGGGCATTACAAGGTCATTCATTATATGGGTATAAATGGTAGCGATTACGATTATAGCGACAGTACCCGTCCTGATCCCTGTCTGTCTCCGTCCTTCCCGTCCTCCAGATCCAAGATCATTCCTAGCCGTAAGTGCAACAAACCCGACAAAAATCCTCAGTTCCACCTCCTAGTAATCGTTCAAAACCGTAGCCTTCATCACATCATCCAGTCCACCACCAAAGCCTGCAATCGGCGGACTCAAACTCCCATTGCCCTGCAACCCCGGCTGGACAGTGGTAACACCGGTACCCCCCTCCCCACCCCCCGAACTCGGCATAAAAATAACCTTCGCCCCCGCCGTCTTCGCCATAGCCTGCATCGTCTCCAAATACCTAATCTGCATTGCCGCACTACTACTCAAAATATCCGCACTCTGCCTCATCAACTTTGCCGCCTCCACCTCCGCTTTCGCCGTAATGATCTTACTCTCTCCGATTCTCTTTGATTGTGCGGCCATAGAGAGGGAAGCTTGGAGATCTGTGGAGAATTCGATGTCTTTGATGAGGATGGATTCGACTTTTACGCCCCAGGTTGAGGCTACGTGGGCGATTATTTCTTCGATGGAGAGGGCGATTTCTTCGCGGCGTTCGATCACGTCTTGGAGGACTCTGGCGCCCAACACGTCCCTGAGGGTGGTTTGCGTACGCTCGATCAACGCCTGCCTCACATTCGCAATGCCAAACGCGGCGCGATGGGGTGAGATAATGTGGTAATACATCACCGAGTTGATCACGACATTCACGTTATCTTTCGTCATGCAGATTTGACGCGGGACCTCGACGACTTGGATTTTGATGTCGACTTGGAAGAGCTTCTCGGAGAAGGGGTTAATCTTGCTGAGGCCAGGGTCGACGGCGCGGTGGAAGCGACCGAATTTCGTGATGAGGCCGACGTTGCCTTGTTGAACTTCCTACGTGACAATTGTCCGTCAGCATTCATCCCCGCAAAGACGGTTGTGTAGATGGAGAGAAGAGGGCAGAGGCGCAATACCTTGTAGGGATTCGGACAACAAAAACACCCAGGAATACTCCCACAAGTCCCAAAGAAACTCCCAAGCGTATTAATCATCCTCGGATAAAACCCCAAATTGGAATCGTCCTCCCCTTCAAGAGTCTGCGCATAGCTCGGCTGCAACTCAGACTTCTTAGGAGGCTGAACCTCGATGAAGCCGCCGGCGGCGCCAGTACCAGAGGCGGAGGGGAGGGTGCGGCGGTTCATGAGTTCTTCGTTGTAGTCGTCGGAGGTAGACATTGCGCTTTACTTGTCCTTAGACTTTCTGTCGCAACTCCAATCGCAACAGCGCACCCTTCCCTTTTTGTACTGCCCGGCCCGTCCTTCATTAAGATCTCGATTTCAGGATCTTCATATGGAGGATCACATGTCCACTTGACCCTTGACTTAACATTTGGGCAAGACTTGGCGATGATCGCGCGCGCGTGTTGCGATGGGGCGGAGTCGCAGTTGTCGGAAATGCACGGCTATAGCAGCTGGGGGTTCACTTTAGCTGTAACTGGATACGTCGGGAAGGAGCAGCTGCTGTATGATATTGGGTATTGGTAAACCCAAAGATTACTCACCTCATCTAGGGCCTCGTACTTTAGACTGGTGATGAGGTGTGGCTCGGGAGGTATGTCTATGTGATCAAGCGTCACACCGGGATAGAGGACGAGATACTCCTCGTAAGTTTGAAAACGTTCAAAGTCATTGGCTTCCGTCTCCGCGACGAGATATGTCAATTCTGGCACTGACTGTACAACAAATCTTAGGTGAGTGGGTAGGGGTGCCTATGTACTTGTAGTAGTAGTTCAGCACCGCTCGGTTTGTCAAGAGGTTTGGGGCACTCAAACGTAACCAGACGTTTCCAACTCACCGTTCCGCAAGTCGATATTTCCCACGCCGCCCTTGCAACCGCACGCGCGCGCACTCATCACTGGCAGTTTGCACCAGACCTTCCTCGCTTCCAACCCGCTATATAGTGTTATCATAGCTTGCGATTCCCTATACTTTCTGTATGCAAAATGATTGATAGGACGATACGTAGCCGAGGGCATGACCGAACCTTTAATATGTCGTCTGAGGAATCGTTGGGATGGAAGAGATTACATAGCATGGAGGTGATGGGGTGACGTCAATCCGTGGATGGGAATGGGATGCGTTGTAACATGAGTTCCTCGAGGAGTCATCTCGAGAACTGGATGATCCGGCAGGGTCGACGTCGACGTCAGGTGCAGTGGCAAATGCCGAACCGTCGGCACTCTCGAGCCCCTCAGCGGACCGCCTTCATTTATTGTCGTTATGCACACCTGTCACACGCCGCACTCCAGTCGAGCACGCACGACCCGTGTTTTGTGCCCTCCTCGACAGGATCTGGCTGGAGTACACAGCCTCCGCGGTCCGATTTCTCTCCCTTGAGTGCCCGGATCGAGAATGTAAAGATCGAGCCGCTTACCCGCTTACGGACGCGGGGCTGCCATGCGACCTCAATTGGGCCGAGAAAACCTACGGACCTGTCCATCTCCTGACTCATCTTCCATATGCCTCGATCTCCTAAGCATGCCAATTCCCTGTTTAACAAGTCCTGATCATGTGCACATGCCCCACCAACGTGCGCCCATCGCCGGTTACGGCAGCTGGATCAAACCCCCGTCGGCCAAACTCCCAAGCCTCGAAAGCCCCGACGAAACCCCGTGATCTACCAAGGCCAGCCAATCCTCCATAACGTATCGATATCGCAGCTGCGGCCGAGCGTCATATGGCGCTTCTGCAGGCGTGGTCAGGTGTCCGACGCACACAAAGCGAGGACAGAGTGCGCGCCAGCCGCCAACCCCCACAATGTATGGCCCGCGCCTCGGGCTTGTTAAGGGGTGTCTAGCTTTCTCGAGACGTTGAAAGGGAGGGTGAGAGTGACTCATGGGGCATCTTGTTTGTTTTGGGTTGTTCGGCTGGGAGCCCGAGGAGGATCAGCTGCTGAGCTTCGAGGTCCACGTCGAAGGCAATCGAGCGATCGAGGCAGTTGTTTGCAAGGGTTAGAGGAGGGTAATCAAAGCGCATGACTTATGAACTAGGCCGTCGACATCGCGATCCGAGCACAGTACGATTCACAAGGCTGCCGATACTACACTCCTGCAATGTATTATTACCCCCACCGCTCGAGACCGAGACCCAGACTTGGACCGAGACCAAACTCGAGGCATATCCAATTACATGTACAGAACTAGCCAACGTAAGCGTTAACCGTCGGGCCCGTGCCGTGCACTAGAGGCCCTGCAATGTTGGCTCGAGGGGTGCGCCATCAGCCCCGGCGGTGAATACCGAGAAAGGGGATCGTTGTCCCTGTTACGTCGAGCTACAGTAGCTGGAGTTGTCTCGCAGCGGGGCATAGCATCCGAGCCACATGTACCCATTTTGAGGGGTTCAGAACAATGCCGATCTGGTCTTGTCGATAGCGATGGTGTCACCTGCCTTCGCAGAGCTCGGCCTCGAGGCGCGGGCTTGGCCGAGGGCCGACGTAACCGGGTCCTTTATCCAGGGCGAACCTCCCACCCAGTATGCTACAAACAAACGCAACTGCTCCCTTCTACGTTTTCCATTGGGTTCTTCACGTCCCAGCTTGCTCTGATTCAGCCGTCGTCATTGGGCGCTTCACGCATTGACCGCATTGCCCGCTTTGCCCGACCCCGGTCTCACCACAATCAATTAACACCTGAGCGCTGGCTGCCGCTTCCACCGAGGCTTGCCTTAACCTTGGCCACCGGACCCGACCATCATCCCAACCATACACCTCGACCGCACCCCCCGCTCCTCGAGGTCTCTGCGATAACAACACCAACAACGCTCTTCTCCTCGATCAATCCTCCGTCAAACCTCTCGATCTGCTTACTATCTACAACAAACGATAACGACAACGATGTTGGCCTCTCGTGCCTCGATTGCTCGGACTCCTGAGCGACTTGATCCGCCGTCCCGCAGAGTCACACGCCCATCCAACTCAGCAGCCTCGTTCAACTACAAGTCACACTCCCCCCAGCAAAACAATCGAATTCCCCAAATCATCACCCCCTCGGGCGACGCCGACGAAATCCTCTACGACATCCACCGTCCCACCGGTCCCAACGCTCCCTATGCCGAGAGGATATCTGGGGTGGTGAAACAGATCAAGAAGGCCAAGTATGCCACCTCCGTGGACGATCGCGGTTATCTCTCTGGTGAGTCACTCTCCTGCAACCCCTACCAGTCCAATTGAACTTGAGCTAATTGTATGCTACCCCTACAGTCTTCGAATACCCACTCAAAGATCATGCGGTCATGTGGGACTATACGTCCGGCTACATCCACCTCACCGGAATCTGGAAAGGCCTCGGAAACCAGAAAGCAGACGTCGTCAAACTCCTCGAGAACCACCCCGAACTCCAAGGTCTGATCGTTCGTATCAGAGGCGGGTATCTCAAGATTCAGGGGACTTGGGTGCCATTCGACGTCGCGAAACGTTTGGCTGAGCGTACATGCTATGAGATTCGGTATACTTTGGTTCCGATATTTGGCCCGGACTTTCCGGATACGTGTTTGACGCCTGATCACGCTGGGTATGGAACTCTCACGCTCGACGATAGCGCGCTTAAGAAGCGTAGAAGAAGGTCGAGTCAGCCTGGTGGTGCGAACAAAGCGCCTCGTCTGATTGCTCCGAAGAATGTCCCTGATGCCGTCATTGAGGACAATGATGCCGATCGTGTACCGGAGAAGCCTCGCCTTGTCCCGGCTGATAGGAAGACGAAGAAGCGGTCTCGCTACGAGGAGTTGACAGAGCTCGCCGACGCAGCTACCGCCAAGAGGGTCAAGTATACCTACGTGACCCCGCCTCCTCTTCCGGAGACCATCGCACTCGAGGTGGAGATCTACACCACAGATGATTTGATCCAGCTCCTCTCCGCCTCACGCTCGCTGCAGCTACTCTCGGCTGGTCCGACAGTGCGCTGGTCATACGACCAACCACGAGGCGGTGAATTCGAATACCTTGGCCGGCGCTGGCGCTGGGACGGCGAGAAGACACTCACCGACATCGCCTCTGCCTCACCCGCTCTTTCCTCCTCTTCCTTCGATCCCTTGGACAACGTCCTCCCCGCCGACGATGTCGCAATCTCATCCGCCTCCGAGGCTGAAGACGATGAAGTCCCAATTGAAGTGCCGGAGCTTGTCGCTAGTGGTGGCGTAGAGAGTTCGCCGAGTGTGAGGAGTGAGTTGGAGATTATTACGCCGCCTCCTGTTCACGCTGTTCCTGTCCAGGTTCAGGGACATGGGTATGGACTTGGGGTTATGTCCATTGGTGGTATTATGGCTGCCCCGGCTGAGGCGGCGAAGCCTGCTCAGTCTGGATTTAGGCTGCCTGGTGGCATCGATGTTGTGAATTGGTGATTGTCTACGGTTAGGATGCGTGGGATTATGTTCTATATTCTCTGGTTTCTGGTTATTGTCGGTTCTGGTTTCTGGTTGGAGTGATTGGTTTAATACTGGTGCTGGTGATTTCATGTGGGTTTGGTTTGGTTTATGTTACGGACTTGTGTGGTGTTCTTCTTCTCTCGTTTGTTTATTCCGTTCAGTCGGTTGGTTGGTTATACCTTCATATCAATACCCTCGGTTATGTTGCTTTCGTGTTAGGTCTTGACTCGGTTCTGTGTATTCCTCAGGTTAGTATAGTTAGTGGATCAATTTCAATTCCAGATACATCATGGGTACGTCTCGTAGTTTTATGAGGAAGCTGGACCGTGCGTGTACGACGTCGTACCCCAGGGCACGTCACGCCAATCCCGAACATCACGACGACAACCTTAACAAAGATAGTGATAACACAATGTCCAGCTCCGATCCATCAAAAGAAGAGTTGAAGGCAAGGATCGCTGAGTTGGAACGCGAACTGGAGGAGTTCAAGAGTGCTGCTGCCTCTTCCGCTCCTCCTGCTCCTGCTCCAACTACAACCACAACGCCGAACGGATCCTACGAAGATAGCAATGACTTCAAGCTCAGCCTCCCCGAATACCTCCGCTACGGCCGCCAACTCCTCCTTCCGCCTCTTGGCCTCTCTGGCCAGCTCCGTCTCAAACAATCCTCTGTCCTCGTAATCGGAGCTGGTGGTCTCGGTTCTCCAGCGCTGATGTATCTTGTGGGCTCGGGGGTGGGGACGGTAGGGGTTGTGGATGGGGATGTGGTTGATGTTAGCAACCTACATCGGCAGGTTATGTACGGGGGTTGTGAGGGCAAGGCGAAGGTTGAGGGTGCACGAGAGTATCTCAAGCGGTATGTCCATATCCTAGTGCTTGTGAAGGTCGATGTGCTAATAGTCAGGATTAGGTTAAACCCAAATGTCAACCTCGTCATCTACGAAGAACATCTCACCCCTAATAACTCCCTCGACACCCTCGCCCCCTACGATCTAATCTTAGACTGCACCGACACCCCCCTAACCCGCTACCTCATCTCCGACACCTGTGTTCTCCTCAACCGGAAACCCCTCATTTCTGCCTCGGCCCTCAAACTCGAAGGAACTCTGACGCATTTTCTCAAAGGGAAGGAGGGCCCGTGCTATCGGTGTATCTTCCCGAGGGCACCAGTTGGGGTAGAAACATGTGGGGATAGTGGGGTGTTGGGGCCTGTAGTGGGCGTGATGGGTGTTTTGCAGGCTTTGGAGGCTATCAAATTCCTCGGATTGGGAGAGAAAGACAGAAAAGAGCAAGAACAAGAGGGAACGAAGATGTTGCTGTTTGGGGCGTGGCCGGAGATGACGTGGAGGTCTATCAAGATGAGGCCAAGGAAGAAGGATTGTGTGGTTTGTGGAGAGAATCCCACTATCACTCTCGAAGTTTTCCGGAAGGGGGAAGTGGATTATGGGGCGTTTTGTGGGGGTGTGGGCTTACACGACGGGGAGAGGTTAAGGAGAGAGGAGAGGGTCAAGGTGCAAGAGCTCAAGGAGGCGCTAGACAAGGGAAGGGCACTTGTGGTGGATGTGAGGGATGAGACACAATATGGGATCACCGCACTCCCAAACTCGTTCAATGTTCCACTCCGGACTCTCCAGCAAGACCCAGATGATCTTCCAGCAGTACTTCAGGAGGCGGGGCAGGGGCAGGGGCAGGGGCAGGAAGGAAAGGAGATTTTTGTGGTGTGTAGGTACGGGAATGACTCGCAAACTGCTACAAGGATACTGAAGGAGGGGTGGGAGAGGGAAGGTCAGGGGTTTGTGGTTAGGGATGTTATTGGGGGTTTGGATGCTTGGAGCCGGGAGGTTGACGGGGAGTTTCCAAGGTATTAGAGTTAGATTTAGAAATTACAGATCGGCACTAGAGATCGGCTGAGCAACTTTATCTCTCAACACGAACGGCGATACGTCCTTTCGAACTCACGAATCACGTCTCGTCCATGGCCTGGGAAATCTAGCAGCTGAACCCTAAGGCGTAGTACTTAATTTCCAATCTTAGGATTCTAGGACACGGCACCTTTTTGTTGAGGAGGACTATGGCAGGCTGTCTAGAACAGTCTGCTTGAACTCCTCCTCTGAAATACCTGCTCCCAGTGCAAGTAGGCATAAATCCCTGATCTGGCTCCTCACATGATTCGTAACCACCCTCTTCATTTTCCCTCCATCCACCGCATCCTTCTGTTCTGGCTCTTGCTCCTGAGCAGATACCTTTGTATTCGTTGTAGGCGTTGAAGCCGGATGGTTAACGGTCGGTACAGCCAGCCAGTCATCTTCCGCCGCAGGCGCCGATTTTGACTGCTCCACACCCTCCATGCCTTGACCGCCTTCGCCGATCTGAGATTCAATCTGATCGTATTGTCTGTAATACGTGTCCTCATCTTGAGTGGCTGGCGTCCCGGTCTCCAGCGCCGGTGTCTTAGCTTTTGGTTCAGGAAGTTCCTGAAGAGGTTCGCCCGTAACCGCGTTGTACTGATCCCAGTAATCGTCATCTTCTTCATCTTCAGCTGTCTTTTCTTCTGTCGGTGCTTGCTTGTCCTCGACCTGTTTGCATCGTCAGTAAAATCCTTATAACCGATCGTGTATCGCGAAACAAACCTTCCCCTCCTTCTCCTCCCTAAACCTTCTCTCCGCCTCCTCAACCGTAGGATAAAACTCCGCAGCCTCAAGCCACTCCTTAACCTCCTCTCTCCCTGGCAAGGGCAAAATATCATGCAACTTCCACCCACCAACCCGATCCTCATCCTCCTCAAGCCCAACCCACATCCATACCATCTCTACCCCCATCACAGGCAAAACACAGCTCCCCACCAACGATTGCTCATCAAACCTCCTCACACCCCTCCACTTCAATCCTTGTATCGCTCGTTCCTGGCCTCCTAGAGATACGTCAATATTCTGGAACGGAAGGATTAGGTCGAGGGCTTGGTCAGGTGGGAGCCAGGAGATTGCACCCGCCCAGTTTTTGCCGCGGCCGAGGGAAAGGAGTTGGACGCGGTGTTTGGTCATTGGGGAGAGGAGGGAGAGGATGTAGGCGTCGGCGCGGGCGGCGGGGGGGAAGAGGGTTAGGCGTTGGACGAGGAAGTCGGAGGGTTCGGTGGGTTGGAGGGATGTTAAGGTTGACATTGTGTTGATGAGATCAAATGGATGCGTATGTGTTGGATGCAGTTTTGTGCGGAATTTCGAGTTGAGGGCGATGACTGCGGTGGCTTGATCTGCCGAAATCGGCTGCCGAAGGGAGGGAAAGTGCCGCATTTGACAGGCTACGTTACACGGGCACGTTCAGACGACGGCTCCGAGGGTGGCCTGCTCGAACTCTTACAAGCTTCCAGAGTCGTTGATATTTCTTTCTTCACTCCATACCCAAGTTGTATGATAACGTAGCTGAAAACTAAGAAGCTGCGACTTTACCCGATGTGCGACTCGATCCTCTCAAGATCACGCTCTACAGTAGGGATAGTCTCGTAATCTCGCCGATATCGCTACACAATATCATAGTCATGCGCGGGCCCGACTTCAAAAGCCTCCTCAGCAGGCGCAGCCGTGTTCTGCCCAAAGAGCGGAACCTCAAGCTGAACCGGAAGGTTACTGCAAATAATCGTGTCCTCGGCATAAGCGGAGTAAGGCGGTAGCTGCGACATACGCTCCATCTTCCTCTCCAACTCCTTGATCCTGTCCCTGAGGAGGGTCTCCTCATAAGAGCGTCTGGACTCGGAACGAGGAGAGAGGGGTGCGGCAGGGTGGATAGAGGTACGGCGGGCACGGTCAAAGAAGATGACAATGCCCAGGATCATGAATAACATAACGATGCAAAGAACTGTCGCTCGAAGAGTTAGTACTGCACCAGAAGTAGATAGCAGGTTAGGACTTACCCGCAATAAGCGGCTGCAAACTCCAGAAGTTCGCCTCAAGGACCTGAAGCCGCTCATCAATCGTCTCATTCATTTTGATCGCCATCTCGGCGGCGAGGCTTGCGGGCTTCATGTCCAGCTTGGACTGGATGTGCGAGAGGACGGTGAAGTTGGAGACGATGATATTCATGTTGTTATCGGGTTTCGCGTAGTTGAAGGTGTTTAAAGGGCCGGACTGAGCAGCGGAGGTGTAAGCTTGGGAGTTGGAGTGTGTGGTAAAGTTGAAAAAGGAGGGAGGGAGAGAGGCAACCTTAAGTGAACGAAAAACCCCAACAGTTAGTCCCATGACTAAGTCGGATCATGGTGGTGGATATTGAGTCTTCCTACATCCGCATCGGGAAATTTGGGCTAGCGCACGCGTGAGACTTCTCGAGACTTCACTTACATACCTAGAAGTGACGATGAGCTGCTGCTGCGCGAGTGAAAGCACCAACGCTTTTGAAACTTGAAGCTTGGGTACAATGTATAGGCTTATAGAATTTCTATCAATAGCAGTGGTGATAATTATGCGAAGCGCCAGGCCCATCTCATGATCCCTTCTCCCATGCAACGTCAACGAAAACAGCTAGTAAAAGAAAACATCAATTTCATCCATATGCATTAGAATCGTGCTCATACTCATGCCGTTTCGATCTCCGCTAAATGCTCTTCCAAAGAGCTCAAGGTTCGCTTGAACCAACTTGACGCACCAGGCGTCAACCTACCCACGCCCTCCTTGCCGAGATCCTGATCTTCGGTGGCGGTCGCTGGCTCGCCGATGCTGCGCTCCAGGATTTCTCGTCCGCTCTCAACGACTTTTTTGAGGAAGTGTGGACCGTCGGAGGCGGCGTACAGCCACTTGAGCTCGTCCGCAAAGCCATCGATGTCGTGTTCGAGGACGTACTTGACAAATCCTCGTGCAAGGATGTATACCTTCTCAGAATACAACCTCGAGCTAACAGCCGCCTCACGCGTTCCCTGATAAACCCCAAAGCCAGCTTCGTTATAGTACGGCTCGCGGTTGAGCACCAAAGCCTGCAAGGAGACCAACACCTGGAGAATCGAGCTCGACGGGCTCCAAGTCTCAGATGAATCCTTCGAATGCCACGTACCAAGCAAACTCAAGCAGACCTTACCCTCTTCGTACAGGTTCGGATTGATCCTGCCCATACCGTTCGTCCAGGAGTGGAAGTAAGCAAGTGGCGGATCAGCCGGGAAACACGAAGGAAGTTGGAAATCAAACACGCAGGGCGCATACTCCGTAGGCGTATCCACCGGGCCGATGATCAATACCCTCAACAAATCCAGACGGTCCTCGTATGTTCGCACTAGAATACCCTCAGGCAACGACTGACGAAGGATTTTGTGTTCCTTCTGGATGCGAGAGATGAAGGTGCGATTACCTGCGGCAGAGGGCTGATTGAAAAAATGATGACTCGACGGGGCTGCCTCAAGAACCATGAGCTTCTCCCACTTCTCGTGGTTAATGGGGATGTTGAGATCACCAGTAAGCTGATTCGACACCTCGGTAGACGCAGAGATCGCGCTCTCTGATGGAACGGAATGACTGTTCTCCTCCACTGAGCTATCGATGGGGACCCGGACGTCTGTGATCTGATCCACGCGCAACTCGCCCGTCTCAGCATCAGTCATTTCCTCATCATCATCGACATCAACCCATCCCTCAGCATCAGCTTCAGCTTCAGGCTCCATTCCCTCATCACTCTCATCCTCCCAATCATCGCCTTCACTGTCGTCCTCATCGAATCCAGCTGCTCCCGCGACTGCATTCTCCAGTTCCTCCTCAACTACGATAACCTCAGTCATTCCTCTCTCCACAATCGGCTCGCCCTCCACACTGCCCAGCCTTACTCTCGCCATTCCATCCGGAGTGATACCCACAACCTCACCAAACCAGTCAATCACTGCATTTGATGGAACCGGGGGTGGTGCAGCGAACTGGGCAATCTGTGCGAGACCCCGTCCGACGCGCACGAGGGTGTCGGAGGAAGATGATTGGAGTGATGTAGAAACGTTAGAGATGACGCGCGCGATCATGTCGTATGGGTTTGCCGTCCCGTTCGCACGATTCTCCTCTGTAGCTTGAGTGAAAAGCGGTGTGAACTCTTCCTGGAATCTCGCCATCGCAGTCACACGCTCGTTCTCGTCCAGACCATTGAACAAAGCATTCAACTGCTCCTGACCAGGCCGCCATGGCTCATCCGGCGTACCGGGATTCTCACTGCCCTGAGGTGGAAGAATAACATGATCACCCCGACGAACCTGCGCCGTCGCATGCGCCGCAAGCTCATACAAACTCATCACCTCAACCCCCTCAGCAAACTCTCTTCGCTGAAGGGTTGGATCAACAAACCATCTCACCTTCGCCACTCTCGACGCTGGATCAACCGAATGTACGACTCCAACCTTCGTCTCGTTCCGCTTCGTTACGTACTCGTTGGGGTACAAATCATACTCGTCTACCCAATTTGACCACGCGAAGAGCTCGGTTGCCGCGTGTGATGATTCCGTGAGGTCTTGCCATAGGACGCGGACGAAATTCTTTGTCGATACGACGCAGAAGATGTTGACGTCGTAGCCCATGCTCTGTTCGCGAGAAATCCTACGCACGCCACGAGTGTTCACTTCGTTGTCTCGGTCGTTGAAGACGACACGATCACCGACCTGAAAGGTCGTCGCATCCGAAAGTGACCTGAAGATGTGGAGTTTCTGGAGTTCATCGCCCTCCCATACTGGCTGAGGTTCGGGAATCTCTCTGTACCGCCCTTGGTGTTGCATAGGGTTCTGACAGATCCACCGTACAACAACCCGCTCAGTCTCCACGTTCACCACCACAGCCTCAGGCTTGATCTTCGGATCATATGCGCCAAATCTCCACTTCCCGCGACGCAGGTTCCCCTTTGTGGTGGTGACGACTTGACCAACGGCGACACGGTCTGGGAGGAATTCCTCCATGTGCTCAAGTTCTGGAGGTTCCAATTCATCCGCCCGTTCAACTGTCACGATGGAGGAGTTAGGAAGTCGAACCGTAACAGCATCTTGTGCTTCGTCGAGGATACCGAGCCAATTGTTGTAGATGACAAAGTTTCCCTCCAAGTACTCGAATGAATGCCGGATCTCGATACCCTTCACTCCTTCTAGTCTTTGTCCCGTAAACGTATGTTCCAATACCAGCTCGAGTGAATGCTCAATGACTGTGCCGGAGAGGTGCGAGTCGACATCCTTCTTACAGATGTCACCGAGAGCAAGGACGCGATCATACAGCTCAAGGTCATCCTCAGAGAGGACTTGCGAACGTTCTTGACCATCGACCCATGTAATGTATACCTGACCAGGTTTGAGCTCAATCAAGTTACCTGCGTCATCGAAAATCTCCTCTTCAGGTGCACCTTCGTCAATATCTTGCCAGGTCTTTGACACAACACCGAGCCTGTTGGCATTGCGCAGCATTACCGTGTCATCGGCGAAGAACTTTGCAGTCTTCGACGGAGGAGCCGGCATGTCGTATGTGTTGGCTCAGGCTCTTTCAGCTGCAGAGGATGTATATGGGTGAATGATTGATGCGAAGGCGTAATGAAAGGGGCCCGTAGCTGTATATGCTCGCCTCCTATACGACGGTGTACGTACACGTTCGAATACATACGACGCACGCTTTTGTGTGGGTTCCTGGGAGATAAGACAAGGAATTGCAGGTAGAAATTGGAGCTTTTAAAGTATAGATAGGTTTACTATGATACAAATCAAGATAGTTCTCTGTTTCTCGCTCTCAGCATACGTGGTGCCTGCTTGGCCGCTACGTCAACGCACCGGCACCGGCAGTCCTTGATCGAAGCTTAAGCAGTGAACGAATAACACCAAGAGGTAGTAACACGAAGGCCCAGCGTCTACCATCCGCAATCGACTATACAGTACCGCATACAATGCCTCCGCCTCCCCCACCTCCTCCACCACCAATGATGGGCGGGGGGCCTCCTCCTCCACCTCCTCCACCCGGCGGTGCACCAAGTGCTCCTCCACTAGCTCAACCCAGCCGTGGAGCCCTTCTCGGCCAGATCCAACAAGGACGAAGACTCAAGAAAGCCGTGACGAATGACAGAAGTGCGCCTATCGTTGATGGAACTGCGTCGAAGTCCACCGGCAGTATGAATGCGCCAGCAAGTGCACCGAGCATTCCGGGGAGATCCAGGGCTACGAGTAGTGCTACCGGAGGTGCTGCTTCTGCACCGCCCGCTCCTGCTGCTCCTGGATTGGGAGGGTTGTTTGCGGGAGGCATGCCTACTTTGAAGAAAACTGGCCGAGGTGTGTATAACATTAAGACTTGCGGTGATCGTCCTACTGAGTCATCGAATACAGCTGCTACACCACCCCCAGCTCCTTCAGCTCCAGCGCCCCAATTGCCAGCGTTAAGACCACCGTCATCCGTGCCAACACCACCTCGGGCACCGCCAGTACCCGGCTCAGCGGCCCCTCCACCCCCTCCTATGCCAGGCGCAAGAGCCCCGCCAGCGCCGCCAATGCCCAGTTCCGCAGCTCCATCGCTCAGAAAACCTCCCGGCGCGCCGGCTATTACACCTCGTTCCGTCTCAACAGCAAGTTTAGGGTCAGGAGCACCTCCAACGCCTGGGCGTGCAAGCCCAGCGGCACCCGGAGCTCCTCCTCCACCACCACCGTCTATGCCTGGAATGTCAGCGCCGTCTGCTCCGTCAGGACCGGGTGCACAACCTGCGCCTCCTCCACCCATGCCTGGATCCGTTGCTCCTCCACGGCCAGCAGCCGCCGCTCCACCTGCACCACTAATGCCGAGCTTTGGTGCACCGGCTGCTGCACCACCACCGCCGCCTCCCCTGCCCGGGAGTGCAGCTCCGCCGTTACCGAGGATGTCTGCGCCTATGGCTCCGTCTACACCATCACCACCTCCGCCACCACCGGCGCCCGCACCGCAGCCGGTAAGGTCGATGTTAAGTCCTCCACCTCCGCCTTCCGCTCCTAGCCCGGCTCGTGCCGCTGCTCAGGCGGCGATGAGCTCCCTTCCCTCTTCTTCTCCTTCACGTCCGCCGGCACCTCCGGCACCAAGTAACGCACCTATGACTATCCGCCCAACAAACGCGGACGTTGCAATCGACGACAGTAGGTTCAACTGGAAGGCGCAGAATGAGTTACCTGCACCTAGGCCGTTCAGGGGTGGAAGGAAGGTTTACAGAAGTGGAAGGATGAGCGGGAGTACGGTGCCGTTGGACATCTAAGTCGGTTTCGGAGGTTTAGAATAGCAATAGCAATTGAAATTGAAATTTAGGTAGGAATATTAGGCGTTTTCGCACGATTCATGCGAGTTCCCCAACGTTGGTTATAACTTATACCCGTCTTATGGTTTGGCTTAGTCCAGTAATCTTTGATTGATGCTAAAGAAATGATGTGAAGTGACTGCGAATCCCATAACGCCAATAACCCAATATGCCTTTATGTTGGTTGATGTTGGTGATGCACATGCTTACATATCCATTTTGTTTGCCTGATCTGCTGGTGCGTCTTTTGCCATTTCGTTCTGAATATGTGTCCTGATCGCCTTCAATCCGCCCAACTTGAACGCAGGAAGCTTCATCACTGCATCAAATCGTGCACGCTCCTGCTCGTGCTCCTTCTTCTTCTTCTTCGCTGTCTTAGGTTTCGACGCAGCAGTCGGATTCGGCGCCCGGATACCAACCCCAGTTTCCTCCTTCTTCACCTCCAATGCCTCTGGTGCCATCTCCTCCATCATCCCTCTCATATCCAATGCAGTCCCCTCCCCACCCTCCGCCCTCTTTCTCTCCCTCCTCTTGGCATTCTTCTGTGAGGCTTTTGATAAACCCGCTGATTGGAATTTCTGCATCCATGCTTCGTGGCGTGCGGTGCGTTTATCTTTTTTGGATTCGAGTTGAGGGCGGAATTCATGTTCGTCTTGGAGGTGGTCACGGATGATCTCTGTGCCGGAGAGGGAGGAGATGGAGAGGTCTTGGGGTGCGGTGAAGGGGGATGGGGTTGGGAGGACGGTCGCGGCGGCGAGGGGGCCTAGGGAGGCGGCTTTGGAGCGGAGAGTTTTGCGTTTTGCAGCTTTAGGCTATGGAAATGGTTAGGATGGAATGACTGATGGGGGATAGGGATCATCGCATGCCATGTTGGACGCTTTTTGGAGGTTGTCAACGTTACAGGCGGGAAATTCTGGATACCGCGCAGGCTGGTACAATCGATTGTCCGGGGTGAGCGTCACTAGCCACAAACTTCGCGGCGTAAACTTGGTCGTATGAACTTTACGTCTACGTTACAGGGAAGAACGAGAAAGAAACATATTGAACCTCGTCACCTTTCGGTTCGTCCGGCAACCCAATCCATAAACCCCAAAATTCATCGATATCCATAATGCCTCCGAAGAAGAAGGCCGCTACCGGAGCCGGTATCAAAGCTGAATCCAGTTCACGACCGAGCTCGTCCGCAGCCGGTCAACGAGTGTCCAAAACAGCACGGCTACTCCATGAACAATTGGTCGCGATCTCTCCTGCTCTCAAGTCCCAAGATGAGGTTAATGAAATGTTACCTGACAAGGCCCAGGGTCAGATTGCAGAAGCGGTGAACGAGTTGTTGGGATACGTAAGTTATCCTCCCCATCCCCAATAAGTCATTTACTGACCAGCCGCCTCCAGAGAATGATTGAAATCCAGATCCAAAATGGCAATGAAATCATGTACCGCGGCCTCCGTCCCCAAGAAGCCGCCCGCCTCTCAGACCTCGACCCTGATGACGAAATTGTCTACCAAATCGTCCAATCTGTTGCTGCAGATGGAATCTACCTCGCTGCACTCCGCAAGAAATCCAATCTACCCCAAGTCACTGTCACGAATGTTATCAAACGCCTCGAATCAAAACAAATGATCAAACAAGTCAAGAACGTTGAGAAACCAACGCAAAAGTGGTACATGTTGTATGATCTGGAGCCTAGTGCGAGTTTGAGTGGGGGGGTGTTCTATTCGGATGATGGGTTGGACGAGGGGTTTATTTTGGGGTTGAGTGAGGGGATATTGAAGTTCTTGAAGGATCGGACGTGGCCGAAGAAGATGGCGGGGAATAAGATTCGGGCGACACATTTTGTGCCGGATTACACCGGTTGCTACCCAAATGCAACCGAAATCCACAAGTGGGTCAAGAGCATGGGTATCACCAACACTGAACTTACGGTTTCGGATATCATGCAGTTGCTGGATGTCTTGATCTACGATGGAAAGATTGAGAAGAGGCCGGATGGGATGACATACTCTGCTGTACGTGACTTCAACAAGACGGCGCAGAATCCATTTGTGGAGGCGCCATGTGGGAATTGTCCGGTGTTCAATGTCTGTGAGGAGGGTGGGCCGGTGAATCCTGGGAGTTGTGTGTATTACCAGGACTGGCTTGGTGACTTGGGGGATGGAGAGGAGGAGATCTTCTGAGTCACGGAAGGAAGGATACGAATGAGGGACAAGGCGATATTGCATACCTCTTGGCATTTCTATAGCTGGCGTTACGTGGGATCTTTTTGGATTGAATCGATTATGTTTTCATAACATCAGCTGGAGCCAGCTCCGGAGCCTTTTATCTGTGTATCGTACACCCATCTATACCTGAACTTTCTTTTTGATTTCCTTTACTCGTCGTCCTTGAAAGGCGATGAACCACCCATGTACATCTTCAACATCTTCGGCGTACAAGGCACGAGCTTACACCGCACCTTTTCGATCCCAGACATATCGTGTGCTCTCAGACGGTGACATCCACCAAACCTGCAACCTTGTTAGCCACCATTCCCTCCTTCATTGAGATCCACAGATCCGGATCGACTTACGCAAAGTAGTAATTCTCGTCATCCTTCCTCACATGCAAAACATCCACAGGCGGCAACTCCGTCGGCTCACCCTCCGTTCCCTCGGCCGCAGCCGCATCCTCCTTCGCCTGCTCACGCTTGAGCGTCTCAATCATAGACATGACCTTGTCCATATCCAACACCGGCGGGATTGGTCGGCGGAGTTCGGACATGGAGAGGTAGACGATGTTTCCGCGATTGCGAGTGTGTACTGAAGCCATAATTGCTTGATTTATCTGCTGTGACGATTCTTCTTGAAGGTGTAATGGAGAAGAGGAGAATTTGGATCAAGGGTCCTTATAAGATTTACGTTGGTGGCGAAGCGGGTTGCGGCTCGCGGCAACCGAATTTATGAGTCGTGACTCGCGCACGTTCCAGATTCGCGAAGCTGACATGAAGGTGACGTCGAGGATCTGATAAGGGCCGGCGTACGGAATCTAAGGAGGCTAGGAGCGATGCAGCTTACAGATGGTTCCGGGATCGGGAAGGATGGAAGACGTTAGGTTCCGAAAGTCAATTAACATTAAAATTTTGATAAAGGGTTTGATAAGCGGTTTGGTCTGGGAGGAGGATCGAGAAGGCCAGCGGGTTTTGAGAAAAGGAAGGGGAAGCCAAAAAGTTGCTATTACATACTGCTTCATTCCATACAGATCATTGTGCACTACCCGCACCCCATTTCAAGAAGATTCGCACGGCCTCGCCGAAGCTTAAGCCGCAGAAGCCCCAGAAAGCGGCCCATTCGGCCTAATCAAAACCTTGGTATACCCCTCAACTCTCTGATCAAACTTCTTATACGCATCCGGAACCTCGCTCATATCCGTGACACTGTGGCTAACGACAAAGCTCGGCTTAGCCTTGCCCTCAATGATCAAATCACGCAAGTAACGGTTGTATTTCTTGACGTTGCATTGACCCGTGCCGAGGGAGAGACCTTTTTCGAAGAGCTTGCCGAAGGGGATGAGGAGGTTGCCGGAGGCGGAGTTGGAGTCGGGAGCTCCGGGGTCGGAGGGGACGTAGAGGCCTGGAATCCCGAGACCACCGGTTGGGCGGACGACCTGTGTAGTCGAGTCAGCAGATGCTACTTGGCATCCGTCTCACAAGTGCTATACATACCGCAATCAAAGCGCTCAACACAGCATTCGGTTCCTCGTCCGTCGCTTTCCCCTTCGCTTGACTCGCCTGGTATCCGACAGCATCGACCGCACGGTCAACATGCCTTCCATTTCTGATCTTTAAGATCTGCTCGACCGCGTCGGACTCGGTGAAGTCAATAGGGATACAACCAATTTCCTTCGCTTTGGCGAGACGCTCCGGAACGCGGTCGATAACGAAGACCTGGGAGGCACCGCGGAGGATGGCGGAGTAGGCGGCCATTAACCTAGAACAAATCTGTAAGCATGTTGCACGGGTAATGAAACAATGGTAGGAGTGCATACCCGACAGGTCCAGCTCCAAAGACGGCGATGCTCTCACCGGGCCTGAAACCGGAGAGCTCCACCCCATGCCATCCAGTCGGGAAGATGTCAGCCTGTCATCTGCATCAGTACCCGGGACATATCGAAAGGTTAGGTTCGAAATGAGACATACCAACAACGCAAAATCGTCCTCATTCTCCGTCCCAGGTGGCAACACCAAACAATTAAAATCTGCAAACGGAACTCTCAAATACTGTGCCTGTCCACCCGTATACGGACCCATCGCGACATATCCATACGCACCGCCAGCGAAGCCTGGGTTAACTTCTGTGCAGAATGCGGTACGGCCCTCTTCGCAGTTACGGCAGTGACCACAGGCGACGTTGAAGGGCATTACGACGCGGTCGCCGATCTTGAGGGAGTGGACACCGGGGCCGCATTCCTCGATGATACCCATGTTTTCGTGGCCGAAGACGATACCAGGAGAGGCTGCGGTACGGCCTTCGTACTATTGGGGGATATCAGCCAGGCCCAGAGTGATGAGGTTGGGATCGCGTACCATATGGAGATCAGAACCACAAATGCAGGTCGTGGTAACTTTCTGTGCAATTGAATCAGTTCCTGTTCTCTTTTCAAACGGTAGATCCGCCTGCACGCACCACAATGATATCGTTCGGGTCCTGGATCTTCGGCTTTTGCACGTCTTGAATGACAACCGAGAAGGGTTTCTCGTAAACAACGGCTTTCATAGACATTCTGGGAAAAGGTTCAATTGGAGTAAGATTGGTGAGCGAGGAGGACCTTCGTGGTTGTTGTCGCGATATTTAAAGAGGGATCAAGGTAACAGCGGACACTGGATCAAGCGGGGCAGCTGGTAAGCAGAAGAGGAGGAGACAGGAATCAGCTGATCGGATGAAAAAGACCCTGCCAATATTGTACATGCACATGTCCCACGCTCGGGCGCGGGCGCGGGCGCGGGACGGGTCCATGCGTGAGGGGAAACGCGCGTGATGCACCACCGGCTGCTGCCCGTACCGTAAAGAACGTCGACATGCTTCCTACGGTGGTGCACCTTCGTGAAGTATGTAGTGGACTTGATTACTCTATCTCATCCTCGTCGTTTGACTCTTTCAATGCATCGTGGCCCCTTCGCCTCGTTAGCAAACCTGGCCGTAACTGGGGGGAGATGAAAGGAGGCTACGTACCAATTCTTTAGACTCCAGTACCATTTCCCTGCTCTGATCTCTTCTAGTGCCTTATTCCGAGGAAATTGTGCTAGGTGTCGCCGACAATAGCTAACCACGCGTCTCATGAAGGCTATTTGCTCGTCGTTGTAGGTGTCTGGATCGGAACCGTATGTGCATCGCATTAACTCAAGCAAATGCCGACCTCTAGTTCTTTGTGTTAGAACACACGAAGAAGGTTTCCTGTTGAACGACGTACGATTCATGACCGATGGACTCTGCCTGGCCAGGCTTGAGCTGGCCTGTCGAGTTTGACTCTTCTGTCTCCAGCCATTCTAACAAAACTCAGCATGCATGCATCACTTGCGAACAGCATAAGCTTACCCGCTAATTCATCTTCTGTCATGTTCACCACATCCAGGAAGTTCTTGACGACGGTTGCTTTCTCAGACATGGTAGGTATGCTTTGGTCTAAAGGGTCGTTCAATGTTACTTTACCGTTGTTGTGTGATGGTAATGCAGGTAATTGACGCTTTTCAATGACTTGCGACTCGTTTTATGTCCTTTATTGTCTGATCAAAGCCCTAGGGCGAAGGTTGCGGTCGGAGCATGAGTCTACGTTACTAGGCTCCTGACGTCACGCAGGAGGGATTCCCAGATCGGGAATAATGAACCCTGGGAAAACGAAAAATACTCAACCGTTGAAATTGAATCATCATTTCATCTAGCTGGAGAATCAAGTCAACGACTACTTCTACCAGATGTGACCTTACTCGACCTCGGGCCAGCATGCCTGAACCCCATCCCCAAGAACAACCGCAACGCTCGCCCCGAAGTCCATTGGGTTACCCTCATAGATGACAAATTCGCTCCTCCTCTTAACATCCAACCCCAAGATCTTCTCCACGTTCGTACTAACAAGCGCGACCGCGTCCTTCTCGTTAAGGTTCCCAGCCATATGAGACGCCCATCCCGCTTCCCAGTATAATTGTCCGAGTAAGCCATCGTCTGGCTGCGCAAGAGCCACGGTAACATTAGCATCGACAAGAACCTGCAAGGCCGTCTCGGCGGTCATGGGAGGACCTGGGAGACAATGGCGGCTTTCCCAGGATTCTGGCTGGCAGCGCCAAGAGGTCAGAATGACCGGAACGTCGGCTTCAACCAGGTCCTTGGCGACGAGGTAACTCTCGATACCGCCAACGATGATGAGTTTGATGCTGTTTAGCTCCGTCTTCAAGGCGATAAGATGGGCAATGACGTCCTGTGTGTACGAGGTTAGCAAGTCATCTGCGGAGAGAACTTCTCATGCCAGATACGCACCTTGTTATGTGTTTTCACCAAAATAGACAAAGCACCGCTTGCTGCCTTGCCATAGACATTCTCCTTTCCCTCATTGTCCTTCAACAAACTCCTCAGCGCCGCGATCTGCGAACTAACAGTCTTCAAGGAATCGTCCTTCCCACCCTGTCCGACCGTAAAGTGCAACGCAGCTTCTTCCTTAATCACCGCCGCAGGGTCAAGGACACTCTTGCCTCTCGTCCTGAACGCAACCGATACCCCCTCCAAGAAGCCTTCGGAGCTTGGGGCTGTGATGGCATTAAGCACTCCGTTCTTGTAAGCGCGTTCGATGTGCAAGCCGTCGAACATCAATCCGTCTTTTGCGAAGACGACCGACTTCGGATCGGTAGGATTCTTCGAAGAATCAACCTCGCCATCCCGCGTAGAGTCCTCCGACTCGATTTCAGAGAGACCGAGAGCAGTGGTCAAGGCGGTGATGCCGGGCAGTACGTGTCCATTCTCGAGCTTGATGACTGGGACGCCGAAGGTTGAGGCAGCGGCGACCTCGGTATCGCAGGAGCCGATACAGGCAATGGAGCCGTTGCGAATGACCATGGAGAATGGCTCGGAACCAGATTCTTGAGCGGCAGTGAGCTCGTCCTCCTCGGCAACAAAGAATGCCTTGGTCAGGCCAGTGACGATGATGTTCTCCTGACCAACTTGGCATGACTTTGCTTGCACGGGCTCGGATTGACGCTGCTTCGGCAGAGCCTTCTCCTCGACCTTGCCGACCTCGACGTCCAGAGCCTTCGCCTTGACATCAAACAACGACACACCATCAACCCAAACCTCAACCGGCTTCGCCCCCAAGGTAAGTGGGTGCGCATCCCACAACACAACATCAGCATCATACCCCTCCCTCAGAAACCCAACCCGATGACTCAACCCCAAAGCCCTCGCCGGCGTCCCCGTCACAGCCGCGAACGCCAGCTCCTCCGCAAGCCCAAAATGATGTCCAACCCTCGCCTCATGAATCAGATCCTGCGCGTTCAACACAGGGTGATCAGATTTGTATGCGACGGGTACGCCATGTTCTGAGAGAATTTTGCCAGCGTAGACAGAGGCTTGGTATGCTTCCTTCTTGTAGCCCCAGAGGGAGGAGAATGTTGCGATGGTTAGGTTTCCGTCTTTCATCATCTGAGGGACGCGCCAGGCGTCGAGGCCATGGTGGAATGCACGGATCTGAAATCCGAATTCAGCGGACTCGCGGAGACGAGCTTCGAGGTCCATCGTCTCGTAGCAGTGGATGTTGACACGAACGTCGCCGCGGAGGACGCCGACGACACTCTCCAACTCGAGGTCGGAGGGGAAGGGTTCGCGGACGTCCTGAGGGCTCAGAGAGGAGGCGGCTGCGCACCATGCGTCTTGTTTTTGCATCAACTTCTGAGCTTGCTCAAATCTGTGTCTGAAGGCCCAAGATTCACCCATACGGGTGTTGACCTCGTTGGGGTATACACGCTTCGGGTTCTCCCCACACGCCATCTTCATCCACCTCCACGGTTTCTCTGTGATGTTGTGCTGAACTAGCATATCATCAACCTTCAAACTCTCCGGAACTCTGTGCTTAACGGCGAATGCCTCTCCGCCCATGTTGTTTGCCGAACCAGGAAGGACGAGGGAGGTGGTAACTCCACCAGACGCGATGCGAAGGAACATCTGATCAGAGGGGTTGATACCGTCAAGGGACCGCATCTGGGAGGTAATTGCGCTCGTCATCTCATTCGTGTCGTCCACAGCCCATAGCTCGGGTAGAGAGTCTACTCCAACGTGGGAGTGCATGTCAACCAACCCGGGTGTGAGATACCGGTGATGAGCATTGATCTTGATCGTCCCTTGAGGAACATCCTTAATCTTCCCCTCCACAACCTTCATGACCAACCCATCCTTAAGTAACACCGAAGCCCCATACGTAGCCTTCCCACCCCCATCAAGCACAGTCGCATTCATAATCAGAATTGGCTTCGCGCCTTCAACTCGCCTCGGATTACTCCTCCCCGCATCCGCATAAACCGGAAAAACCGGCTGCTCAGCAACTGCCTGACAATACCTCATACCATCCTCGTATACCTTCAACTGTGATTTCAGGATCCCCTCGGGTGTGCTGCGGGTTACCCATGCGAATTGAACGAGGAAGGAGCCGAGAACGAGGGAGCAGAGAGCACCGACGATGATTTTGCTTGTCAGGCTTGGCTTCCACCTGCCATGGCTGTGGTAATTGGCTTCAGGAGACCCCATGGTTGTTGATGGAGATGTCCTTCGTCGGATCAGTAATCGCGACATCGTCGGTCACTTGCATGAGATCGCGGGGGAGCGAGGGCTATCGATAACGGCCTATCATGACCGCACGGACCAGCTCTACCGGTACCCATCCATGCCCGTCCCATTTGCTCAGTTTGACGCACTCCAAACATATTGTGGGACGAGTTAGTTGGTGGGAAAAACAAAACAGTGAGGGGTAGGGTGGTACTCAGAAAAAAAGAAAAAGCGACCGCCGCAGGACTCGAACCTACAGCCTTCGGTACCGAAAACCGACGCGCTACCATTGCGCCAGGCGGCCTATTATTGATGATAGCTTTCATTGTTAAAAAATATATTCACATCAAAAGAATCATTTCGCTTCACTGGCTATTCCCATGCATGCCCAGGAATGGTTTCGCTCTACTTTCTGTCATCAGATGGTACAAGTTTTTCCAAAGCTATCAACCATACAGAGTTTAACACTAGCATCCGTCAGACGATAACATGGACCCCGTCAACATGTTCCAAACCATCGTGTTCTACCCTGTCGCCGACGTTCATAACGTGTATTGAGATCATCCGCCAACAGACGTGCCTCGTACCCGTGAAGTCGATCTTACCGGAGTCAGTATCGTATTCTGAGACACAGCTTTCATATGGAGCGCGTGGTCAAGACTTCAAGTGACTCTGTACGAATGTTTTGGCATTCGCTCAAAACACGACCACCGTAGGTATGTCAAGTGCCATACCGTTCACAAGAACACCGAGAGGAATCCAAACGAACCTAATCTATACGTGCCAAATATGGGCAACCCTTCAATAATGACCACATAAGACCAGCGCTGGATGAACTGTATTCCCCTTGTTTGATAGGAATACCCATAGCGTGGGAAGAAGCGGCATGTTTAGTTACCTACCTTGCCGCAGCTGTGAGTTAAAACCGTGGTGCTTTTACTCATTTACAACAAATGCTTACCTAGTCTTAGAAAAGGAACTACGACGAATACAATACGACGACATCATTACACGAATGAAAGAGCTCGAGCCGGCCTTCATGGCACTCGTACTTGGAACGGAACTGTGTTTCTCTAACATTCCTCCGGGTATCATGCTCATCCTGAACATATGCTCAAAATCCTCTCTACACTCCCTCCCTTCGCTTAACCCCTCCCTATCCAGACATACTAACATCCCCATCTTGTCTCCCCTCCTCAAACGCCGCATACTTCGCCTCAAACTCCTGATCAACATGATCACACAACCCCACCAAGTCATCCAACGCCTTCTCTATCGCATCAACAGCGGTATATCCATTTGTTCCGTAGGTCTGGATTCGAATGTTCATTTTTGCTTCGGAGGGGTGGGGGATTGAGTAACCGCAGAACTCGACTTCGGGACTTTGCAGCACAGTATTTAGCACTTGCTCCTCGAAAGAGAACTCCAGGAAAGGAGGGGGAGGATGGGGACGATGACGTACTTCTTCATGATCATATATCTCAGCGCGTTTCCCAACGTGTGGTCCTCCTCCAGGATCTGGAACGTAGCACTCGACAAATCTTCCGATGCACCAGGCAACTAGAACACGCACCACATTAGCACACCGCAGAACCTGTTCCCTTGAGAGTACATACAATCTGAATCTTCGTCGCATCAACATCCATCACCACAGCCTGCGGTTCCCGATCCAAATCGGCGTCGGTGGAGGGGTACTGCTGGTCGATCTGCTGTTCTTCTTCGGACATTATGAGGGTGTATAAGGGAGCTGGATGCTGTTTTTACCGGTGTATTGTACGAGCACACTGAAAAATCGAGGCAGGGCGAGGACCTGGATGTGGCGAAGCTCGTATACGAGTGGCGCATGCGTCGTTTACTTGGAGCACTCACACTGGTCAACTTCGAATCGTGATGGTATCCTCCAATGTTCCATAGTCCTCTAAATATGCTATCTTCATGCTTATGTTATGTTGAAGCGCTCGTACCATTAGTCGTCTTCTGGCCCGCCGCCGCCGCCCTCACCCTCTCAACCTCCCTCAACCTCACCCTATTAAACTCCTTCAAAACCCTCCTGTGCCTCCTCTCCGCCTCAACCCATTCCTCCCTTACCCTATCATTCCTCTCCGCTGCCTCCATATAAACCTCAAACATCTTCCTCGCAGCTTCCTGCTCACTACTCGTCTTCCCAAACATATCCGCAACACTCGTAAATAGCAATTGCTCCTCATTACACAGTCTCTCGAATTGGTGCCAGGAGGCGGCGTAGGCGGTGTAGGCGTCGGTGTATTCTGTCCATTGGAGGCGGTAGGCGAGGAGGGATTGGAGGTAGGTGTGGAAGACGCCTTCGTTGAGGGTTGCGGGTGGGGTGGGGATTTGGGTTGGTGGGGTCATTGTTGGGATTTCTGGCGGGACGGGGGGTTCGGTTGGGGGCATGGGTGGTGCGTCGTTCATCTCCTCGTCGAAACCGTCGTCTTGCCATTCGTACGGCATACCCGTCCCACTTCGGCTGCTCGTGGGCCGGCTTCCGTTCGCTGCACCTGTCTCAGCCTGCCCATTCGCCTTTGCTTCCTCAGCCTTCTTCGACTCAGCGAACGACCTCGTCCACTGCTCATAATCAAACTTGAAGCTCTTGTCACCCTCTCCCTCTTTCGTCTTAACACCCTCTGCACCCTCCCCCTCCTTCTTCCCACCCTTATACGAAAACGTAAACCCCCCTGTCGGAGTCAACGGACTATCAACCCCCGCTCTCATCTTCGCCCCCTTCTTCTCCCTCGGTTTCCCACCATTCTGACTAGCGTTAAACTCCGTCCCCTCAACCCCCGCTCCAAACCCAAAATCAAACAGCGGAATTTTGACATGACTACTCGCATAACTCCCACCCATCCCCCCGTCCTTCGGCCTCATCCCCGCTTGCCCAAAGATATCTCCCGTAAACCTCGGACCAGTAAACTTGGGACTATTACCGGATGGACGATATGGACCCGGTCGATCCGGGTTATGGGTTTTGGTGTGTTTACTCGGACTCGACGGGGATGTCGAGCTCGCTTTCGCATTCCATGACGGCGGGGGTTGAGTCGTTCCGTTGCCGGTGAAGTTGAAACTGTACGTACCAGTGCCAGTACCACCCGGTGCAGAAAAGGGCGCTTGTGCCCCCATTGGCTTCGGTTCGGGGGTCATTGGTCGTTGGAAGGTGAATGCACTCGCTGGTGCTTGTCTCGGTGGTGGTTGATTTGGAGTAGTAGTCCCTGATGCGAGCGTTTGTTCTGGGAGTCAACTGACTTTCTTGTGGTAGCAATCGCGCATGAAGTCCTTAAAGATCCGACAAAACGGCAGACTTACCTATACGTCTGGCGAAATAACTTTGGTCCGAACAAAAGACCTACGCACACCGCACCTAAACCAACATATACTTCCACTTCTACACCAAAAAAGCCCCAACCAACAAGTACTGATAATTGGTACACAAATGGTTCGTCAAGTTCAGGTCGAACGAATGCATCGTGGAATCAATCATCTGGAAGACAAGGAGGAAGAGAAGAACCTCCACGATCCGCACATGACGGATACGGCACCGGCAAGAGTACACCAAAACAGACTCCACGTCCAGACTCTCGCGACAAGACCTCCTCCTCCTCATCCAGCAAAAATACCGGTCCAGATCCTTGGTCATATCGTGATTCAGGGAGTAAGAGCCAGAAATCTGGTCCATCAGCATACTCTTCCACGAATCGACGCGAAGAAGCTCGGAGACCTCCAAGTTCGGGGACGGGATCGAGTAAGCAAGGGAATTTTGGTGGGTTTGCGTGGGAAAAGACGTCGAGGCGGGGTGCGGCGCCGACAAGCAGAAAATACCAAGACGATACCAATTTTCCTCGGGGGAAAACGGGGTCGGCGGGAGCAGGGACTACACCGCAAGGGAGACATACCAAGTTCGGGTTCGACAAGGATGATATGGGCTGGGAGAAACCAGCGCCGAAAGGGGCATATACCTCGAGCAGTCGAGATAAACCCATACCAAAGAACGTCTCAGGTTTCAGTTCGTCCGAGGAAGACGAACCGAAGATGCCAGCTTTCGACAAGAAGGAGTCGTTCAACCCGCCACCGCCACGCGCAAGGACGAAGGGCTACGGCGCACCCCCCGAAGACGAGGAGGACCTATACGACGAAATCCGAAAACGACCCGTCGCGACACCGAAGAGTAAGGTGGAGCCGGGTGCTCCGGGCCCTGGTATGCAGTTCCCGAAGACGTATACTTCGCCAGAAGGAGAGAGGTGATGGCGTACCTATTTTCTGAAAAGCGGACTTTGCCGCTTCCTCATTTCCTATGTTTTTATCCGGATGATACTTGAGCGCTGTACATCGTCAGCAACGGCAAGAAAAAGACCGCGGGTCGTCGGGATAGCACACCTAGCTTCAGGAAAGCCTTTCGAATAGCACCGGTATCCGCATCAGGCGTAATGCCCAGCAACTTGAAGTAATCGACAGAAGCGTCGTGCTCCGGCGCCGCGGTCCTCGGCATCGCAAAAGACTCGCCTCAGCAGGCGATGATGCCAATCAAGATACCAAGATGGCGATCAACTGCGCAGTCGTCTATGTCTCCGTCGTGAATGCTCTTCTCTAACTTCCGTCCCGCGGCGTAACGACGATGGACATATGGCAGGGCACCAGCCACAATAACAGAGGGCGCGTGAGACAGAGGGTGCAACTATGATGACACGGCCAACCTTATCGACACCAACACCAGAATCCATCGGGGATATATGCCATTATGGAGGTGAGGAACAGCTCTGTTAAGAAGGGAGGATGGTGCTAATCGATATGCGCAGTCATTACAGAGTTCAATCATGTCCGCGGATGGCCAATTACCCTCCGTGCGAGCACGCCCACGGTTACTGCTGGTATGCCTTCCGAAGTCAACGGGGAGGATGATATGCTCATGTATGTGGTGGTGTTAGATGGGACTGAGACGCTGCGGAAAATCCTCAATACAAAAAGTCGTCTTCCACAAGATGCCGCCAAACGAGACGCTGTTCTTGGAGAGTACGAGTAAGATCACAAAGGACAACATCAAGTGCGTGGCTCGTCCTCATCTCTACACTATCCGGACGAACTGACATACAGCATAGTTCATTTATCGACTTCCAAGTTTGGGACTTCCCTGGCCAAATCGACTTCTTTGACCCCACCTTCGACGCGGACTCCATTTTTGGTGAAATCGGAGCGCTGATTTTCATCATTGATGCACAGGACGATTACTTGGACGCACTACAGAAGCTCCACGTTACGATCACGAGAGCATTAGCGGTGAACCCGAATATCCACCTCGAGGTTTTTATCCATAAGGTCGATGGTTTGAGCGATGATTACAAGATAGGTACTGAATACACTGAACTCAAATCTATCTGTTGCGGATTGCTGATGCCTTGGGACACAGACACCCAACGCGACATCCAGCAACGCACCTCCGACGAACTCGCCGACGTCGGCCTCGACAATGTCACCCTAAACTTCCACCTAACCTCAATCTACGACCACTCAATCTTCGAAGCCTTCTCAAAAGTCATCCAAAAACTAATCCCACAACTCCCAACCCTCGAGAACCTCCTCAACATTTTGTGCTCAAACTCTGGGATCGAGAAAGCGTATTTGTTTGATGTGTTGAGCAAGATATATATTGCTACGGATTCGAGTCCGGTTGATATGCAGAGTTATGAGATTTGTTCGGATTTTATTGATGTTGTTATTGACGTGTCGACAATCTACGGATACGACCGCCCCACCCCCTCCTTACCACCCACCTCCACCTCCACCACCACCCCCACCGACCCCGACTCCGCCGGCTCAATCATCAAACTCTCCAACGGCCTCGTCCTCTACCTTCGCGAAATAAACCGCTACCTCGCACTCATATGTCTCATGCGATCCGAGGCACTCGATAAACATGGATTGGTGGAGTGGAATGTCGGATGTTTTCAGAAGGCGATTGAGGAGGTTTTTGATATTGAGAAGAGGAGTGGGGTTCCGACGCCCGGGGGGCCGGAGGAGGGGGGGGAGGGGGTTCGGATTGAGTTGGCCATTGTATGAGTGATGGATCTAGGGAGAGGAGGGAGTCGGCGAGTGATCAATAGTGGGTTTGAGGGTCCGTGGTGATCAGCGGGTTGGGCAGGATGACACCTGTCAGATCCGGCGCCGGAAAAACTGAAGGCATCCATACCATAGCTATAGAACTAGACATTGACATCAGTACCTCCTACGTCAAAGTGGTCGCATCTTTTCATACAAGCCCTTCTTCCCATCCGAAATAGACGGCTGATCCTCGGCTCACCAATCCTTAGCAGCCCAGTACATTCTAGACTTCACAACTGTCACGTCAACGGTTTACTACTGCAAACCAAGTCGTTAAAACGCGAAGGTTCCTGGACTTTGGTCGGTTGGCGAACCCCGATGCAGTGGAAATTGGGCGAGGGCGCGCGTGCAACAAGGTCAACTTGGAACACGGCCGGTGACGCTTGCTTGACACGGCGGATGGCGAATGACCATGGCTAGGCGTTTTCATCTGGATAAGGGATGTTTATTTTCATCAACCCTGCCGTGATCGCGATTCTTGAAGACGGCGTGCGACGGTATCTTTGCGCACGGACCACCTGTCAAGCTGCAAGTTCGACCTATACGGAATCGGCAAGATCGATTGCCGTTGAGACGACCATTCGACCATCGGGATTTGCACCGACCGAGGTGGAGAAAGAGGGTAAGGTAAACCTCTATCAGCCGACTCGAGGCGTTCCGTTCTCCTTTCCTGTCGTTTCCAGGACTGTGCGATAGCAGCATTCGGCATTTCTGAGTTCAAATTTGCGGCGACTGTGAAATCCGAAGAATACAGTAGGGAACGGCTATACCGGTACCGCGCCGATGAATTACTTCTGCCCGCCGGGGTTTTTGTCATCGTTGGAATACGAGCACCAGCACTTTGTTGCAGATGCAAGGTTCGCCCATTCCACCCCTCCCTATATATGGTTTGTCACTAACCCTCGCCAACAGAGACTGCGTCGAAGACTGCTGCCTCGTTTGCCCAGCAGCCTTCGTCCTCTTCCCCAAATCCACCAAACACTCCCTCGACGCAATCCCCATAGTCGCATCCGTCTCCCTCGGACTCACACTCATCATTCTCATTTCCTGGATCGAGTTGCCTCGGAAACTATACCGTCGAAATTTTTACACGACGAATTTTGTGGTGTGTGCAGCTGTCATATTTTCTATCTACGCGTTCGTTGCAGGGGGAAAACGGGACGAGACGTTTTGTACGGATGTGATTACGAGGGCGACGGGTGGGACGTCGGCGAGGTGTATGTTGCAGGGGATGTTCTTTGTGTTTGCGGTGCATGGGTGTTTGTTCTGGGTACGCATCCCAGAAATGCCGTTACCAAGATGATGTGCTAATTTGTCCGTACAGTCATTGTTGCGGATTACCACGCTACATTTGAAACTCGCATGGCAAGCCGAGGCATTCTGGGAGCGAAACGTCTACTTCAAGTACGGAATCGGCTGGGCCATTCCGATTATCTTCATGTGTGTCGCAACTCATGATATTGAGTACACTAGCGGATACCTCTGTACTCCCGCAATGGGAGCCTTCGCGAATGGTACGAAACCCCGTAAGCTTCATCAAGAGCTGTACTGACCGATAGTTGTGCAGGCGTCCTATACATTCCCATGCTCGTTTACAGCACAATCGGGTTCCTCGTGCAAGCAGGCACCTTAATCTACGTCATTAAAGTCCTCTGGGAAGCGCGGATAGCACCATACCTGCACACCGTTGACCACCTTTCTGAAAACAGCGAGGAGCGACACCCGAACCGTCGAGATGCGGCTGCGACTTTACTGCAGGCAGTGAGGTATGTATGGCAGCCGCTCTTGTACACAACGATTCTTTTTACGGGGTCGACTATCTGTGGCGTGCTCTGGATTCATAAAGCGAGGGATCAGCCATTCGGAGGTGATGCGGTGAGAGGGTTGTACGAGTGTTCGAAGGCGAATTGGGCATTAGAAGAGTGTGAAATATTTGCGGATGATCTGGTGGCGCCGAAGCAGTTGATTACAATCGGGTTCTTCTTGAGTGTCTTGGGTGTGCCTCTATTCTTCATGGAAGCACGCAGCGAGTTTTGGAAGGCGTGGGCATACTTTCTTTTCGGACGATTCCCGCGGCAATCACCCGATCGCGATCCACCATGTCCCAGATCAGACACAGAAGCGAGTGGAAGCACTGGTTCTACCGGCGGCAGCATGGCTAAACCAACAGGCGATACTATCACCGCCGAAACCAACGAAATCGAACTCGAACTCGAACCAACACCGACCCGTAACCGCCAAAATTCCGCAATATCCTGGGTCGAACGGTTCCGCTACCCCTCCATATCAAGCCGAACCTCCTCCTCAACCGGTACGCGTCGTCCCTCTCACTGGAATATGGTCGGTACACCCCGTGTCGACGAGGAAGGCCAGTTCTTGGTGTTGCCGGATGGGAGTATCGCGCCCCTTAGTTTACCGAGTCGACCGGTGAGTGCGGCGACGGCGGTGAGTGTAGGGGATCAGCCGAGTTTTGCGGGGCCGTATTTTGGGAGGAAGAAGGTCCCAGACCCGTATGAGATTCCGGTGAGTCCGTGAGGAGTGGGATTTTCTGTCATTTCTTTTCGTTTACGTTTTCGTTTCGTAGCGTATGGGACATTGGGAGCGGGTGCAGTATTTATGGTGGCGTTATGTGCTTTTGGATAGGTTTTGTTGGACATTTTGGCACTGAGAAGAGACATCTATTTTGAGGAAGCTTCATTCACTACGTTTCTACTGGCGGCCGTGAACGCCGAGAAGACAAGCGTCGGAGCATCAGGAGCTCGAGCGCAGCAAAGAACAGTATGGTAGAACGAAAGCAACGCAATACACACTCATAACCAATCACAACAGTGTAAGCTATCTAGCTAAGTGGAGAACCTTCCATATAAAATATCATATATCCTCGGCCAACTACGCAACAACGTAAACGTACATGCATTCACAGCGTGTATCCGCCATCGCCATGACCATGGCCAACTGTAACCCGAACCCATCAAGGGCCAAATCCAAACCACAAACCAAAACAAAAGTAGAGAGAGAGATCATAACGCCCAATAAACCCATAAAACACAATAAACAAAACATAACGAAAACACAAAACGAAAAGGTGAGAGGAGACCTGCACTAGGTCCGTCCATGTGAACCCTTCATAACCTTAAGCCACAGGAGCGATACTCCTCAACTTCATCTCCATGGGATCCTCATATCCCAAATCCTCCTCCGTCTCACCCAACAACCTCATCAAAACCCTCGCCGGGTCCTCTTCCTCCCCTTCCTCACTCTCTCTCATCATCGAAGCCTTACTCGGCATCCTCGGTGCAACCGGAAGACCCGAGTCCTTGTCCATCATCTCAGGAGAAAACTGGAATTCAGGAACGTGGACACCAAAGACGTTGACATTGCCGCCCTTGAATGCAGTCGGTGTGGATGAGCCTTCGTTGGAGTAGGCTAAGGGCCACTCCGTACCGTCGCTCTTGCCGGGGAGTTGGAAGAGAGCTGGATTCGGGTCCTTTGCATTTCCGTATTGAGGTTTGGGTTGGGGGAAGAATGCTTGTTGAATAATCGACTGCAACCTCGCATTCTCCGCACGGACACTCTCCAACTCAGCGCGGAGTGAGTCCGTCTCGGCATTCTTATCCGAGACGAGAGACTCGAGGTGGGAGATATACTCCTTTCTCCTCACACGGAAATTGCGTGCAGAGACTTTGTTCCGCAATTGTCTTCTTTCTTTGCTCGAGAGCTTCTTGCCCTCCTCACTCTGCAACAACTTCTCGTCGTTGTCCATCTCCTCCGCATCATCCTCGATCTCGACACTATCCTCCTTCCCAGCCTGCGACTTCAGGAAAGACTGGTAAAGCGCATGCTCAGGCAACGCCTCAATCTGCTTTCCCTTATTCGCCTTCTGTACGGCCTTCTTCGCGTTCTTCTGTGCCTGGGTCGCTGGAGCGGGGCTTAGAGTCATCGCGGGTTGTACCACAGCTGGCTGCACAATCGGCACAGGAGCCGCTCCAAACATCGGTGGTAAAGCAGAGATAGAGTCCTCCACCTTCAACGGCGGACTGTTAATCACAGCAGGATCGATACCGAACCCAAGGGGTGTGTTGTCCGTCCCACCCACACTCGGTGGCGAAAACGGAGCAGGAGCATTATGCGTAAACGGTGAAGCCGGAGTAGGATTCGATTGCATCAAATACTGGTAAATGTCCTCATTGCCATTGGCTGTTGAGGCATTGAGAGTAGGGAGGTCTTCCACGGTCGAAGTGGGGGAGATGGCAGAAGCAGGCGAAGCAGCGTCGAGTTCAGGGAGAGTAATGAGGTCGTCGAGGTTGAAGAAAGTTTCGAATTGAGACTCGGTCATGCCTTTGTGATTGTGAATCTGATTTGGATTGATTTGATTGAGTTGTCGTTGTCTGTCGGGGGTGTATGCTGTTCTTGGAGGTTAAGAGGCAAACACTGCAACTCGAGTGGTGTTGTAATATGAGCGGCAAACTGAGTCAAGCGCCAGGCACCGATTGCAAATGCAATGCTGCAAGTTTTGCACCCGCCTTGAAAATAGGACCTAAGAGCTCCTGCTATACGTTTTGGGTGGATATCTAACTGGGTGTTGTATGCAATCGCATCGTTCGTCCTGCTTCATGTCATCTCCACATCTCTTGATCGCTTTTCCCAAAGTTCGACCCGTCGTACATCAACGATGTCAGCGTGCCCCACGCGGCCAGCTGTTACATCGCTTTGATCTAGTACTTGATGCCACTGTTAGCAATATCTTGGTCTCAAGGTGAATGCGACGGAGTTTGTTTGGCCGTACGCAATGGGATGCAGACGAGCGTGGGGAAAATGGGGTGAAGGTTGGCCGGTAGCTGACGGGACACTCAAGGATTATGGACAAAGTACATGGGGAAGAAAGAAAAGACAAATGGCTCAGTAACACTGCGAATGGTGATGCTTGTGTCGATTTGGCAAGACGTCGCTGCGGCACATCCGCATCGATGAAATCGCGAGGCCCGTGCCCGCGCCGAGGCCGAGAGCATACAGCCCCGGGTCCAAGCTCCCTCAGCCCATACATTTCCCACATCTCCATCCCGGATACCTGTACGAACACGTCGACTCATCCAATTGGCTCCCCCCCATGACACCTACACTTCCTCCACCCGCGTCTCAACCGCCCTGCCCGTGCCCGTTGCCAATCCCACCCCGTTCTGGGTGCCTACCCGGTCCTCCGCGATCGCGCAATCACTTCTATTAAAAGTGCCGCAACACACCAACGCAGAACGAGCTCCACTGAGTATGACCACTGTGAAATCATGACTTGGCGTTTCCGTGTGGTGTTTACGTAGGTAGGGCGTCGGGGCGGTGAAATTGGCCGAGGGCCGTTCTTCGTTTGTCCTTCACGGGCATTTATCCGAAGGCCTAGGGCTGGGGAGGGTAGCTATAGATAGAACATCGGGGGCAGGGTCTACGAGCATCTAAGCACAGTTGCAAGGAATCGAGGGAACGGACCGGCCCCCCTTCAAGTGTAGCTGTAATCTGACTTCATCGTTCCGTACTCCAGCGCGCCCTTACAAATCACCTGCAGACTGCCCTCCCTCTAGACGCACGCAACGCCCCCAAGAGCGCCCACACAAATCTGCCTGCACTAAAGGACTCACCGACAAGAACCGACAACTCGATCTTATACACTCGAACCATCGCCATCGTCACGAAACGATAGCATTCACGACAAAGAGGAAGACAAAATGGCGTTCCCGTACAATATTAACCACCTCAATCTACTGCAGCCTTTCGATTATGCCGAGCAGCCTGCCGCGGAGGGTCAATCAGATCCGCTAGATCTCTTTACGAACATCTCGTTCGACAATACCTTTGACGGATCGTTCATCCCTCCAGCTGATCCGGCTATCGACGC